ACCTGGAAGCACTGGCCGACCGTTTCGTCCTTTTGTGGGACTCCTCATTAGTGCGCCGTTGGTTGATGGCTTAATGGTCTGGTGGTTATGCTCTCACGCGCGAAACTGATAGGTTCTGGGTTCGAATCTTGTGAGGCGAGGTTGTGGATGTGCACTACTGAACAGCCCCACAGTGGGACGAAACGGACGTGCAATGCCTTCGGGTTTTCCATGTGGGTCTAGCTTTAATTGACTAATGATCACAACTATTGAAATTACTAAAATCTCCACAAAATCCCTACTGACACTAAGAAACATTAAACTTAATAAAACATTTTTATTATCTTATTGATTTTTCAAATGACGTCACTCGATTGTTTTTTTCTTTTTTAGTTTCTATTTAGGTGTGTTAGGAGAAAAAAATCACTGAAAATAATTCCAACAAACTATTTTTTTATTTATTAAGATTGACAGATTTTAATGACAAGTTACATGATACGAGTAATAACAGTTAATTATTCTGTATCTATGTGATATATATATATATATATATATATATATATATATATATATATATATGACTTAGACAATGTCTAATTAAACTTCATTAACTGTTCAATCTTTTCATTGATTTTATTCATTATATAAGATGGCTTAACCATGACAACGAATATTAGTTTTCTTATTATGGCATCCTTTGATTGGAATTAGAAATGATATCTATTTGATTTCGATTAGTGGTTAGTAAATATTATCTTGATTAAGAATGAATCTTCACTTTATTGTTTTTATTCACTTAAGAGTTATGAAAGGTTAATGACGAGTAATGAACTTGAATCAATGAGAGGTTCGTTTGTATACTTGTCTTTAATGAGTCTTTAACTGATGTTAGTCCACAGTTGAAATCATTTCTAAATTACACAAATGTTCATAAAACGTTTGTAATGACAATTCAAACTCTTCATCATTATGAAGATTTAAATTACTAAGTTTACAGAAGTTAATTGAGATCGAAAGTTGACCAATACTCTTTTAATTCATGAATTTAAAAAAAAAAATATATATCTTCACATCAACTATTACAGTGAAACGTATTCTTACATACGTTTGGCGTACGGTATGACAATTAGACATATATATTTTAATCATTTAACAAAACGATAATTGTCAAAAACTGCCATGAAACAACTGTTTTTAGGGATGAAAAGTGAGAATTTCATCATCTCTGAAACGAACATGACATCGTTTAGACATTTAAACTAATCATTTCTTATAAACTAATTTCACAGTGTAATTGTTATGGTAATAAAATTAACTAGTAAAGTATCGAAACACGTTTACCGACTGATCATCAATTAAAATGATTGAATTTATTTCATTGATTTAAAGGTATCAATCAGTTCAGTATGATTTCGATTCTCTTATTAAACAATTGTTCAGGATATTAAATAACCACTGAAAAAATTAACATATTATATTTTGTTAAATGCTTGGTAGCTTTGAAAAATTATTTCATATTTTATCTTATTACAGAAATGTCCAGTTCATAATTGTCAGTAAATATTGACAAAATTTAGATTAGAAAATGTGCTAAATTTTAACACAAGATACAGTTATGTGATGAATCATTTTTTAGTCGGAATTCGGCTTATTCATGAACAATTACATATAATACTTATTCCGAACATATAGTACTGAATAAAGCAATTACAAATCCAAATTCTTACGTCGAACTCTACACCCGAATAACAAGTAGTTAACTATTTAGTATAACTGGCTTAATGGGTAACTTAATGGTGTTTTAATTGGATCGATGGGATATAAAGTTGGGCTTCAGTGTAAATAATAACATTTGGATAATAGTACATGCATTTGACTACTCAAACATAGGGTTGAGTAAGTCTTCAGGATTTCACTGGCAGTCACAATTTAAATACACCAAAATCTTGTAATCAAAGGTAACGTCCAGATAATTGTCTCAGGATGCGCATATACCAACAGGGATTGATCCATTCCTATCCATACTATAAACAGAGAGTAATATCAAAACTTTTATTGATCATAAGTTATATTTTGTTGAAATTTTGGTCAAGAAGAATAAAGTATCATACACAGTTATATTTTTTATATCAGTTTGATAAATACATTCAATTGAGTCACACATCACTTTTAAATTTTATGTTAATTCATTTACACAAGATTGGATCTTATCACTTGATTATCTGTTCAGCCACTTTAGCATAGTTAACATATTTATCGAAAGGTTTAACATTATTTTCGCAGTCCGTATAAGGGTTATAATGTCAATAACCTTTATGCGATATAAGAATTTAGCTGGGATCATATTCTTTCAGGTTTATTCTTGATTAGTCTAACTTTTACAGAGTTTAATCCTGGTAAACGCTGTCTAATTCGCTTGATGGTAATGCCTTCGACTAAGGAACTGTGTAAAGCAGTTTAAAATCACTACAAGAGCAAATGTTTTCCGATGATCACGGAGATACCTTAGTGATTAAATCTAATGAGTTTGAAACATTTAGCAGAAGACGCTGGTTTTACATTTCAATCCAGTACTAATTTCATACAATATTTCCCATAGATGTTTAGTTACATAACTGACAAAGTTAGAAGTCATCTCATGAGAATCGAACGATCGTAGGTAACTTCTGAGAATGAGTTTCTCATGATAAAGTTTTGTGAAGTAAGAATAACAAATATTGGACAATAAATTAAATTTGTTCCATTTAGTATAGTTTAAATACACCACATATTCGCTCACTTATATAAACAAACAAAAAAATTGTACAAATATAATATAAGCTCTCGCACACGTGACTGATAGGTCCTGGGTTTGAATCTCTCGAGGCAAAGTTGTGGATGCGCACTTCTGGAAGGTCCCACAATAGAATGGAATGGCCGTCCAGTGCTTTCAGGTTTTCCATGTTGGTCTAGCTTCAATTGACTCATGATCTGAACAATCAAAATTACTATAATGTTCACAAAACCCTCCTGAAATATAATTTTGTGAGTAACATGTGAATATTACTATAGATAAAATAATATTTTATACTGTCACAATGTTATGCACTTGTCAGTAGTAAGAAACATTACAAATAAATATTTAAATCTAATGAAACTAAACAAAGTAATTGACGTATTAATCATGCTGAAGTTTCAATTGTATGTAACAAGGCAAAACTAATTTGTATATTTATGTCATCTTAAAACTGTAAACGTATTGATTTTGATTAAGATTTACTTTGTTTCATTTCTACTACTAATCTAATCGAGTAATAAGCTAAAATCAAAAATAACATGGACTGAGTTAATTACCTGAAGTTAGTCATTTTGAGTAAAATTCTGAAATAAAAACGATCTGACGATCTCGTGTATTAGTTGTCTGAACCTTCCTATTGATATTCGCTACTGCAATTGATCAGTCTCTTTTTGTATATGTGTATTTTGTAAGGACTGTCTCTTCTTGTTTTGGTCCTGTCAGCTAGATGTTCTTGCTTTCCAGAGTTGATTTACACTCCGGAACTCGAACCCAACACCATTCGGTTCGAACACCACCACTTTATTAATTTAGCTACTGAGTCCAGATAGCCACTGGCTTATGGAATCGGGTGAATTCCAATTTATATGTATTAGTTGTTTGAATCTTCTTATTTAGATCATCATTATTTGAATAGTGTTCACGATTGATGAAAAAATGACTTTATAGCCAATACGATTGGCTTCACTCAGCATTTTTTAATAGTTGATGTAGGTTATTTCTGTGTGTTATTGTACTCGTCTTTACTTTATCTGAGATCGAGATTACAAAGAATTTAGTCCATTTTATTTTTAATGACATAGGGATTACCAAATACTTTTCTGCAATTCTTACCACTTTATGAATCATTTACTGTGGTGAAATCTTTCCAGTTCTTAGAGGATGATCATCTTAATAGTTTGAAAATAAAAATAAGTTATTTCAGGAAAACTTAAAGTAATTTATCATTGGTAAGTAGGTAGAAAATTTGATCTTTCTTGATTCAGTGGTAAAGCTTTTAATTGCAGTACAGGAGGTCAGTCGCTTCCTGATTAACTCAGTGAGAATTTGTCATATTGTGAAACTGGATGGTACGGGTTTGAACCCACTAAGGAGCACTATTGCTTCCGATGTTATGAGTAATTTTTGGTGGCAATCACCAACTATCCTGAGATCTGGATCTCGGGTTTCCGGTGGTTGTCCCCAACCACTTAACGAAAAACATTATTTTTCAGTCTAATTTATTGATGAATTATCGGTTTTGTCGAAATAGTGCAGACTCCTTAATGGTTAGTATTCATTAATATAAACCTTAGATTAAACTGATTCTCCATAACGGTAAAAAAACCTGTGCATAAATTCAATACAACGATAAAAGATAGTTAACAAACGAAAAATGTACGTTTTAAAGAATTGTCTTATGCAGTTAAAATGGCTTTATTTCGAGTTACAACCGAGTAAACGTTTTACATGGAGCCAAGTTATGGTTCACTATAAAATTTGAAAAAGTTTTGCTTGTTCCGACAGCAAAAACTGCTCGCCGAAAACAACTGTTGATTAATATAACTAGTTTGAAGTCATTCGTAATCAATAGAAGTATATTATTAGATCAAAGCCAATTGATGATTTAAACATACCATAAAAAGTTATGCATTAGGCTATAACTTACATTTAGTATTTTGGGAGCTAATGTTTTCACTTGAATTAAACAGTTTCAAGGATCAAAGACTAGTTAGAACTCATTCATGACTTGATAGTCAATGCTTTATATCAATGAATCGTACATCCACTATTTTAACTCTGTTTAGATTTATTATTCTCTCATTACTTAATTGCTTATCTTGTATAGTCATAAGCATATATCCATCATGTAATCCTATATTTATTGGTGATTTTCTATTTGATTGTATAATTGTTAGATATATAAGTCATCTATTATTATGGCATTTATTACATATTTGAAAACGCTTACATTTTTAATTATTAGGAAAGAGAAAATCTAGAACGTAATTTATCAGATGCACAGAAAAAATGTCATACAATGGATACAAGTGAACGTGATATGAGAAATCTTATTTTACGCGCTGAAGAAGATAAAAAACGTTTAGCTCAAAGAATAGAAAAATTAACTGCAAACGGTATAGTATTCCTTTAAATAGAAATTCAACTTTTCTTTACATTATTTAAAATAATTTTATTACTTCAAATATACATGTGGAATACGTTGATTTTATTTAAATAAATTACTATCCTAACTTTGAATTCAATATCCAATTACCGAAGAAATGAGTTTTAGATGAAAAGTTTGTAAAAGTAATGCATCGGTTGAGGTCAGTCAGGTCAGATAAATTAAAATTCATATGGTTAGCATAAATGCCAATAGATAAGATACAAGCTAACAAATAAATGAAGTATAAATAGCTGATATATTTTTTACGTATGACTATGACTTTAAATGGTAGAGAAGATTCGTAACTCAAGAGGAAGATTTTAGTAGAATCATGTTCACTGAACTGGTCAGACTAATCTTAGAATTTTTATTGTCTACCTTGACAACATTATTGAAAAAACTTCTACTTTGTAGAATGACAATAAGAACTTCGTGATTAAATGACCCGACTCAGAGAAAGTAAAATACACCAAAAATAAAAGGAATGGAACTTGTTTACATGAGATAAACTGAAATCTTTAAAATAAATTGCAAATATTTAGGTCATTCAATCACAGTTCAGTACATGTCGTGATTGGTTATGAAGCCTGAATAAATTGACATCTAAAATCTCAGAATGATTGGGCTTTCTACTTTTATTACTATTAAAAAAATATAGCTATTATTGATGAATTTTTCGTTCCCGTCTTAGATATTCTATCTTCTGAATAGAACCGGATGTAATGTTAGAATTTTCGATGATGAATGTTTTCGTATCATACTAGTCAAGTTATTTAGATCCAATTATTTTTTCGAAAATTCAGAGCGCGAAATTAATTTTTTAATAACCTTAATTCTTCCTTAATATGATAAATAGTGTGTAGATTTCTGATAAAAATTAAAGGTCGTTGGTGTTCGTAATTTTGTTTCATTCATCATCACTAAACTGACATTTTTAAAAAATGGTGAAAATTTATCACAAAAAGGATTATAAAATATGTTAAGTCTACTACTAGAACACTTAATACTGAGTTCTTCACCAGTTCCTTTAACGCTAGATTACTTTTATGCCACAACTCATATAACAGAGAAAAAAGCGAAATATCAGTATCTGTGAACAGAAAACCAGGCGTATTTATAGAAATTCATGCTACCTTGGTCATCTGGAACAGCCTGCAAAGACGTCAAGTATGGCGATGAGATAAATAATATATACATCAATTTTCTAGATGTTTCTGAGATGCTTCTATTTAACACAAATCGGATAAAACACTGACTGACATTTCCTGAGCCTCTAGACTTTAACGAGGAATATTTTACGACGACTCAACAGAAATAAGTGATCTAAGTAAATTAACTAAGTGATTTTTCTCTCACTATTATGCACTGAAAAGCAAAGAGACTTTATGATGCTATCTAGGAAAATACAATGTAAAACGTTTTAATTAAGTTATCATTACCACTTTAATTACAAAATTTACATCAAAGACGTATTTTTGTTGGAAGAACATTAAAAATCACGAAGAACTGGATAGATGTCGCTTACTAGCATGGGAGTACTCAGAAGAGCGCATCCATGATTAAACTTGGGGTCGAACTCATAAAATTTGGGTTGATATTAAACATGTAAACCATTGGATTCCAGTTTACTGACCAATTGTTTTATATTTTAATAACAAAGTTTTCAAAGTAAAACGAACTTATTCTATTTAATGGATCCCAATTAGAAGAACAACAAGCAATATATATATATATATATATATATATATATATATATATATATTCATTTATTTGATTGCTTTCATGTAATTTAAGGTTTCTTTATTTTGATTATTAGTAACTATAATATCAACCATTCTACCATTCATTGTCACATTTCAACATATATAAACACAAGTTTTTAATCAGTGTGTTTTGTGTTCAATTCTAATGATTATTTTCAGTTCTGTTTCAAGTGTACTAGTTAGATTATTTTAAACATTTGTTTATAATTTCATTATTTTTTGTAATTTTGATTTATTTACAGCTAATAAGAAATCATGAATTAGCATGAATTCATTTTACTCTTTTAAATCTTATGATTCTTGTGATTAAGGGAGCTGGTTGTATTATATCTTAACATTATGTCAGTTGCATATATGTATTGATTATGTATAGTTGTAATAGGAACTTCAACAATGTAACATAAACGTAATTAGTCAGTACGATTGCAGAGTACTGTAGTAAACGAACATTCACGTGATAAAGATTAATTAATTGTTCAATACAAAATTACGGAATACTTTTTCAAAAAATGAAAATTATACATTAAATACATGATATGCACATCGTTGATCAATTGTCCTTTACATGGTTTATGATTCTTTTAATTCTGTTTCACTTTCTGTTCTCTTCAATTTAATCTTCTCAATCTTCTACTGGCATGTATTCCACTGCAGATTGGTGCTAGATACTACTCATATATGTCAGCATAAATTGCATACATCAGAGCACTATTGCACTCAATTTCTTGCAAAGTCATTCAACTTATGTTTTTAAGCTGATTTCCAAATAACTCTATTGTACTGTATTAAGTTTACTTTCATGTTCAGAATGACATGTTGAAAATCCTATATAATTATCAGTTATTATAAAAATATGTTGATTTTCGAAAACTAAATCGGCTGAGTAACAAGTCTTGATTTGTGAATTATATTGAAAGTTAAATAACCGTTCAGATATTGGCATTGTTCTTCATCTATATGTTTAATCTCGTTAGCGTATTTTTAGCAAGGCCTTTTTATACAGGATGAGATTTCCGAATCCCAGGCTGATTCCCCTTCTTTACCCGGGTTTGAGACCGGCAGTAGCCCTAGAAGAGCTACAAGCGGAGTTTCTCTATATATATCTAGGATTAATTACATAAATCGATGATATTTCATTTTTTTTACTATGACACCATTTTACATTTCTGAAACATTTTTTAAAATTAATATTATTTTAGAACGAGCTCTAGTTCTAGAATTAGAAAGACTTAAACGACATGGTGGTACAAGCGATGGTCGAACTAAACGTATCAGTCAATTAGATGAATTTATATCTGGAATTGAAGCAGATCGTGATTATTGGCGTGGACAAGTGGAAATATTGCAACAAATGTTAAATTATCCTTCATTAACAAGTGGAACTGAAGGTAGTGGGATTGGACGTACAACAACAAGTAGTCGATTGAAAAGTAAACCACCTACTGGACAACATACAACAACACCAAGTAAATTAGGTGGTTCTTTAAAAGATGCAAAACAAAGAAAAGTAAATAATTTTACTGATCTATATATAGTTTATTCAATAAATAGTCGAACTGATACAATAAATATTTGATTTTGTAAAATTTTGCAGTATGTCAGTTTGATACCTTTCAATAAATATACTACCCTCATTCATAGGAATACACTAGGTTTCTGTTCTTCAAAAACATCCATCGAAGTTCTAAGGATTCAGGCTCTTTATTTACCCTGTTGTTTCCATGTTATTTATATACCACCGTAACTTGACTGTTTTGTATTTCAATAATAGATATAATTTTGAAGGGCTGTTATGTCTGATGGGTAGAGAAGGATTGTAAGGAACTATAGTTATTCAGCGAACAATTTCACACGTACATGTAGGACAGTAATGTACGATAAAAATCAGCAAATCTCAGTAATTGTTATAATTATAAAGAAATTAAAACTTCCATTAATTAGTAATTGGGTAATGCCAAACCACCAATGTTATACTAAATCATAATGTACAATTATAACTTTATCTCTGTAGTTCAAATGTGTACCGAATAGACTGTATTTACATAAATTATAATCTTATCCAATTTTCATACATGAGTGGTTGCTTAAATACCTTGAATACCTACTTTTAACTGAACATCTGTTATTAATTAAATAAGAACTTTCGTCTAAATTTGAACGAATAGTTTCACAATATTTGGGCACCGAGTTAATGTGAGACATTAAAGAGGAAGAATGTATTAATGATAAACATCTTACAAATACTCTTCGTTAGGCTGTAAACAATGAAAGTAACGTTCTAAATGCAAAGCAATGATACAATGGAAAAAAAGGAAAAAAAAAACAATTAAACGTTAGCTAATTATCTTGTATTTGAAGGGAACATTTGATCAACTACTGTTATGACAAATTTAATGTGAAACGAGGGTGAACTTGAAGTATATAGTATTCATCCGTAATTTAATAACATAATAATTTTTGTTTTGTAGGGAAATACTAAATTTGTACTTCAAGTTGTCTATGCAACTTATAACAATCCTTAAACAATAGTATTATAAACTTTTAAAAATTCAAAGACTAACTAGTAGAAACTTTAAATTCACTTGGTATTGTTTACTTGAATCTTTCCATTGATGTTTAGGACTTCAATCGATCAGCCTCTTATTGGCATATGTGTATGCTGTACGGATTCCCTCGATATTGCCTTAATTGACAAGCATTATAAGCAAAGATAGATAGTAGCTAGCAATGGAATCCAGCACACGCGTTTCATCCTAGTTTGGACTTTTCAGCTGGATGTACTTGCATCCCAGAGTTGATGTTTACTCTGGAACTCAAAGTCAGTATCTTTCACTTCAAACATCACGTTATCAACTTAGCTACAGAGTTCCACTATTAGACACTATACATCTTTGCATGTAATGATTGTGAAATAAGGCAATATCGAGGCAATACGCGCAGTATGCACATATGCCAATAAGAAACTGATCTATTTCAATCGTAAATATCAATGGGAATATTCAAGTAAACAATACGAAATGAATTCAAATTTCACCCCCTGGCACAAGCTAGTGGTTATCAGGACTCAGTGGTAAGTAGATTACTCGATGACATTTGAAGCGAACAGTACTAGGTTTGAGTCCCAAAGTGGACATCAACTCAAATGCACCTACATCCATCTGACGAGTTCCAAATGGGACGAAACGTGCGTCATGGATTTTACTGTTAGCCACTATCCATCATTACTTATAATACTAGAAACTAGTTCATTTTGATATAGTATCATTAGCACTTTAATAATGAGGTATTTTGAGTCAAAGAAAGTGTGAACATTTTCTACATTTTGTTTGAGTGACTGTTTTAAGATGTAAATGTATTTATCAGCTTTCATTAGAACATAAAAATCACTCGACAATAGAGTTTATTTCCCTCAAAATAGTACTTAGGTGCGATATTATCATTTAAATCGATATAGAACTTAACATTGCTATTGGTTATGAATTCAACTGGGAGTTTTGCCAAATGAAATGTATTGAATTTAATTAAAGAGACGCTTTTGTGCTTTAATGGCTTGAACTAATTTAAATTAATATTGTCGATACTACACGATGAATTATAGATATTCTGCAACAATAAACAATAATAAGGTCGTTAACCATACATAAACTGGTTGCGCATGGCTCCAAGAATCTTTTATTATATGCCATTTGACGTAAATGAGATTGGGCGCTTTTAGTGAAGCCGAATTGGAAACCTATTCACTTAACTTATGAGTATTAGTAGAAAATCAGCTATCATATATGTGGAGAATGACGATCGGTTATTTACTTTACATTAGCTCAGTGAAATTTGTATGTATATCAGGACTATAAAACTGTAAATGTTTAATTCCAATTGAATTGGATAATGGAAAGTCATTTTAAATGAGTTGTAGTGTCTTACCAGAAAGGTTATGATATAGATTACTTTTTAATTTACTCAACAATTCATTCCCCTTAAGAATGATTCTGCAAGTAGTTATGAGATGAGATTCATAGGATAGTATATTTACTGAGAAAAATTTGGTCACATAATTTTTATCTATAAATAGTTAAAATAACCCAGATATCTGAAAAATGTGGGCAGTGAAATAGTTCGTTTATACCTACGTTTATCTATTGCCCAGCTTTGATTTGTGGTGTGACTTTAAAAGCCAGATCTTATTCACTCATTATATTAAATCAATAAGTGATAACACTAATCAATTGATTAAAATTCTATGGAATAATGACAAACTTTTATATTCTGAATGTTCATTTTTCTATGGTTAATTATTTTTTTAACATTATGAGTATATCTGTATCGTAGAAATGAAAAGAGTACATCAAAGGGCATAGTTATGTAAGTGATAGAAAATTGTGATAACTTGATATTCAACCAAAAATGTATGGAATTTCTTCTTGTAGATATTTTTAGTAATCTCTCTCTCTCTCTCTCTCTCTCTCTCTCTATATATATATATATATATATATATATATATATATATATATATATATATATATATATATATATATATATATATATATATAATTAAGAACGAATATATTCGACAGGGTAATATTAAAACTGTTATGTTCCGATAAGCATATTGAGTGGTAACTTTTGGGATCCATTTATAGACCAATACTATACGTTTATTTTTATCGTATAATTGTTAAGTAGCTAGACTATACATATCCATGTCCCTCTTATAATGAGCCTTTTTTGACTTATGAACTATTATTATACGATTTACCATTCTTGAACTATGCCCTGTCTATCAATCACTACCACCACATTCACAGCCATATTTGGCTAAATCCTATACAAATACTGTTTCCTGTTTCATAGTACGATGTAGTCTGTCCGGTTAGTATACAAACCCAGTATGCTTGAAATGAATGATTCATATCGCAGAGGCTTAGACTGATGTTCTAGACATAACTGGTTGGGCTTGGCGGAAAGCAGCGCCAATAAGGACTAAGGCTGCTCGTACGGGTTTTATGCGTCATTGGTCAGGTCGATAATTCACTGTTCTCTGATTGGCGATATCGTTACGTTATACATTAACAGGACACTCAGGCCACAAGTTATAACAAAAGCATTCTGAAGAATTATGTTCAGTACTACAGTGCCGTTTTCATGAATAAATTTGTAACATCAAATCCTTCGACGCTAATTAGAATTTCATCAAAGTGAATTATTAAATTGGTCAATTATTTAACGGTTTCAGTAACTTTTAAATATGAGCAAAGTTCGTGGCTGAATATTTCGAATAAATATGAAATGAAGGCACTGGAACGCTTGTTTATAGCTTTAGTAAAACAATGTATCTGTAATATTTTGATGTAATGAAAAAAAATCGGTAAGATAAACACACTATGAAGAAACCACTCTGTTTTCATGTTATATATATATATATATATATATATATATATATATATAAAGCATATGACTGAAATATTGATACGTTGATTAAACACGACATATAACTTTTGGATTTTATCTTTAAGAGAATAACAACTCTTAAGTGTATTGAAGAGTTTAAGGTTGTTTTTTATCTTCCTGTGAATTTTTCTAGTGATTCCAAACGAAAATCTTAGACTAATTCATTTCTAAAAAAACATTTATTTAATGATTGACGTGGTCGAGAACGTATGAAATATTATTTTTTTCCTATGTAATTCAAACTTTCTTTACCCTCGCTGTTTTATAAGTATTAGGTAATACAATATTTACTTCTGTACATTATAAATTATATGTTTTAACATATCTGATTAACCAACTATTTGCAACTTTCAGCTTGAACAACAAGTCCAAGAACTACGTGTTGAAAGAGATTTACTACGTCAAGAGTTAGATAGTATAACACGATCACGTCATAGAAGTCCTTCACCAGTGACTAGATCAAGATCATTAAATCGATTCCAGGTAAGCTAGATTTAATACTGTTCTGCTTATATATATATCGTTTATTCCACAAAATGATCTTAATTAAATAATCGTTGGGGAGCAGGACGTCTGTTTTGGCCCAGTATGCTCGTTTAAGAACTCAGGATTTTCAGATCTAGTTATTAGTACTTAACATTTAGGAAACTGAGCCGGCATCCCGTGGTTTGTTCCTTTAATTACAATCAGTTATATTGTATAGCTAATTTCCAATTCTATTGAGTGACTATCCAATACTTGACAAGGTTATACCCCATTAGTCACTGTTTCTTACTTAACTATATAATTCGAAAAAATCCACAAATCCTCTAGTATATATGTTTATATATAAATGATTCATAATAATATCCTAAAAAGCAAACTATAAACCTGACTCTATTCACGTAAATTGAATTAAAGCGTTATCAGGTTAATCCACTATAACGTATTTTAACATATTTTTGATGTAGCTAACAAAATAGCTGCACTTTTGTTACAAATTAACTTGTATAAGTTATATTCATCACCGCTGACCTATCTGAGAATGGGTTTAGATAAGATATCATTAATAACTACCAATTACATTTCGATACCATGATATAATAGTTTCATTCTCTTCTAACCCTGATTACTTCAAAATACAAATCTTGTAAGTAAAATTTATGTGTTAGAGATCAATTAAGATTATTTCACATTTGATTTCATCTACCAATTTACCATCTATATTCAGTAATTGTCAGTTAATGAATTTGTCGAATTTAACATTTAACTACACTGAACTGATTAGTACAATCAAAAGTGTATTAAAGGTCAACTGGACAAATGTCACCTTAAATTAATATGTAAATTTTAAAGTTGACATTTTTCAAATAAGTTGTATTTTTCTTCTAATTAAAGCAACATCCCACTAGTATACAGTGAAATAATGCATTAAGCCTTGACTACATTCGATATAACTGAACTCGTGAATCAGTTCATAACATTCACTACATAGCTATTTTTAAAATCCTATTTTTTTAAAGTTGATATAATTTTGTTCAAAGGTTGTACCAGTGATATTATTGGCATAAATGTATTCATTCGTTGTCTTTTTTTAGATCCAAAGTTTCTGACTTACCTTACTAATTTTCCTGAATTCTTCTAATTCATCTTTTCTTCACTAGTTATATCATTATTCCCTAATCTTATATACCAACATTAATACAGTTATTACTCCTATTTCTTTTGGATTTTATCATACTTTGCTATGGGGGGTTGCGTATGCCTGAACACCGATTACCACGACGCGCAATGCTGAATAGTGTTGGGGATGATTGGAAGAAAGTTAGGGGCGGCCAAACCAAAACGTGGCATCAGTGTTTGAAGTCGTTAACTTCTGGTGTGAACCATGTTGGTAGATGCGCATTACTTGATAGGGATCCGCGTGACTATCGTAACCAATGGTTGAAAACTCTGTGTGACATGTCTCAGAATCGATCACAATGGCATAGGTGTATACACTCTATGTCTTCCCTTAAACTATGAGATTAAAATCTTTTCATATCTACCTTTCTACGAACTAATTCTTTCTTCCTGCACTATGTTCTTATATGCAATCTTTCTTTTATATATTACTATAACTGAAGTAACTAATCCTATGAATTTGGTGTTCATCTTGTTGTGCTAATGAGTTGTAGCAACTTGGACCGATGCACATATGTGCTTGGTCTTACGTTGTAGCTGATTGACTGACTGATGGGGTGTACAAACATTGGCGGTATATACATGTGTGAGGTTTAACGTTGTGTATGACTGGCCATGACTGACAAATAATCTTACCTTTTACAGTTGTTATTCAATTAATTTCAGTAAGAATAAACAAATTGTTTGTTTTATCGTTATTAAAATGAAAACAAAACTTTTGTATTTATGTGTAGTGTCTGCCATTATGTTAAGCTCAAATACCTTATTATTCTAACTTTCGGACAGCCCATTCTATTCATCCTATTTGAGTCACATTCTGACCTTGTTAATTATTCGCTTATCAATATCTTGACTGTCTTGGTATGAGCGCGTAGGTGTATGTACACTTCTTATCCCATTACTCATCACATGTCTGTAATTTATTTTTGTGTGCTTATAAATATTGATTAACGCTTGGTTAACAAGGTGTTGGCTTACCAGCCATCTCCACCGCGCGCCAATTTAGCTTCGCTTTCTCATCTTCGCATCGTTCCTTCGTTTGTCTAATCAACATTTATACAAAATATATGCATTCAAAACTCCTTTCTCGTTATTTGACTTATTTAATTCCGTTATTAACTAACGCGATTTAAGTCAATGATTATATACGAGGATAGGCAATAGCAATCATTCATTACGATCAAATTGGAGTCTGATCTCGGGCCACTAAATATGATTAATCTACATGAGATTTTTCTAATTTTTTGAACACATATTGATTTAATCGCAGGTAATTTCAAATTACAAATTCCCGCCTATCACTTATCTATAGTGATTTACATTCGGTTTTATCTATCTGACTCTAAACTTTCAGGCCTAGATTAAGCTTGAAATGAATATTGGCTCCTTTCATTTTGATAACATACTTACGTAGCATATATAATACACTATTTAGGAGCGTTAAGGGTTTCTCCTCATCTTTGTTGAGTTTGTTTTTTCTCTTTCTATCATGTTACTAAACTTGTTAATATTAAATGAAGTTTAGCAGAAAATGTGTAAGCCTCACAGCCAGTTTCTAATTTCGTACGTCAGTTGTATATTCATCAGAGTACACTATGAATTATTAGTGAGTTGCGTCACGATGGTTGGGTAACGTAAAAACGCAACCTGGCGCGTATCCTGATTAGATGTTACTCACTTACCTACGCCTGTTACCCCTCATAGAGAAGTATAGGCCATACACCAGCATTTTCAATCCAACTCTGTCATGGGCAATCCTACCCAGTTGTTTCCAGTTCCTATTCATCCTTTTGATTCCTGCTTCCAATACTCGACGCAGTTTATTCTCAGGTCTTCCTCGTTTCCGTTTTTTTTCAGGATTCCAAGTGAGCGCTTACCTCGTGATGCAGTTCGATGATTTCCGCAATGTATGTCCTATCCACCTCCAACGTCTTTTCGTAGTTTCTCGTGTAAAACAAGCTTGCTAAAAAACGCTAACAAGAATAAGAAGATATATATTTTTGTATATCACGCTATAATAAAACATTCAAAATGATTAAATTAGATATTTAAGTTGTTTAAAGTAGTATCATACAGAATGAACATAATGAAATATTGTAATAGCATACTTACTTACTTACTTTGCGTAATGTTTTTTAATAGTGTTTACTTGTTAAACTATAACAGACATGTGATAAGTAAGATTTACCATTTTATTTTGGTATAAACATATTGGTTATAAGTAAGTTTTTCATCCAAATATGATGGATGGAATGAGTGAAGTTTTATAATACATAATTCTGGTCATTAGGTCCAAATATAATTTAATTGATATTTCTTACCAATGATGTTGAATTTTCAGTGACTTATCTAGAGGAATACACGTTTATTTAGATCTAATCAAATATTATTAAACATACATGATAAATGCAAACAAACTGGAAATGTACAACTTAAAAATTCATAGATGAGTTCAGTAGCACATATAATAGTTACAACAATAACCCTTTTATCAATTTAGGTGTTGTGGAGATTGTCAAGTTTTTGATTGAGATCATGAACCGATTGATGTTAGACCACCATTGAAAATCTGGAAGCACTGAACGACCATTAGACTTTAACACCATCCAATGCCGGCTCAGTGGTCGAGTAGGTTAAGCGTTCGCGCGCGAGACTAAAGGCCCTGGGTTCGAATCCCGCAAGCGGGATCGTGGATGCGCACTGCGGAGGAGTCACACAATAGGACGAAACGGCCGTCCAGTGCTTCTAGGTTTTCAATGGTGGTCTAACATCAATCGGTTCATGATCTCAATCAAAAAATAACCCTTTTGTAGGATATAAACATTATTAGTAATATCTGTGTATGAAAACTAGTAGAATAACGTATAAGAAATGCAAAGATTAAAGTTGGCATTCCGTTATGCATAATGCCGTTAAATAATGACTTGATTAACAGAAGAGTTATTTGAGGTAATAGTAATGACACTGACAAAATGATACACGGAAGATATACAGTAAAGATAGGTTGTTTATGTATTAAGTGTGAGATTATGGAATTTTCTTAAACTTTATATCACCCACTGAATTTAGTTAGATCATCTTTAAAAATCTAGAAGCTATTGCTTTTTCGTAAGGGACTCCTTAATAGTTCTTATTCATGATCCCAACGGGGATTGAATTGCGTCTACTCCAAAGGTTTAATATATACCCACAAAGAATTAATTCCCGTTCACTGTCATTCAGCAAACTAATGACTACATTCAGCAATTATTAATTAAGTGATTTATCAACAGTACAAATGCTACGTTAACCAAAACCCTACAATAAATTAGTTGACATATAGGAAAATATGCGAAAATCCTTTGATTTCTTCCAAATACATCTTCCTTGGAGACAGAAGGTTAAGAAGATCAAAGAAAAGAGAACAAGAACAAAGAATTATTGGTGTGAGAATGAAAGAACAATGAAGTCTCAGAAGGGAACAATCAAGTTTGAGATAATTGATCAGCATTTTGCAAATTAATTATTCACTGTATGGTTCTCAGATTTTAATAAGTTGTTCTGTAATTTTATGTCCGAATACATTTGATTGTCTCAGCTTGTGTTTTCGTTGACTATAATATGTTTACTGATAAACCAGCATGGTGTTACTCATCCATCAATATGTTCTAGCACTTGATTAAATGTACATTAATCATCATTGAAAATCGAACATATATTTTCGCAATTACATAACTCAATTTAAACCGCTTTTTTTACACAAGAAAAATATCCAAGAAATCTCGATTCAGAAAACTTCAGCTGGAGATAAGTTTAATTTCATTATTCTAATAGCAAACATATTGATTTTTTGAGTTTTTATAAGTAGTGCATTTAGTATAAAACACTCCATGGTCGTTAACACTGTCCAATTTTTTTCATTGTAAATTCTTTTAGACTCGAGATGATTACATGGAATTGACTAAACTTCGACAAGAACGCGATGAATTACGAAGCTTACTCAATAAACTAGAACACAGAGTTCAAGAAGTAAGTAGAATTTATATATATATATATATATATATATATATATATATATATATATATATATATATATATATATATATATATATATATATATATATATATATATATATACAAATAAAGGAAGTAGACTATCTACAAATTATTAAAATCAATTCTTCTATTCCACCCAGAAGTATTTTCATCACAAATTCACGTTTAACGAATTCTTTGTTGTCTTTTTTAGTTAATTCAATGTCTCATTGTCAGTTTAGTCCTATAGTTATTATGTTAGTCGGACTTGATACCTAATGTAGGCGGCAGTTATGATAGAAACATGATAACTTTAAAGTAGCTAGTCCTGCAACTCGATAAAATAGCAAACTTTATAGTACAACAACGAATAACTTTAAATATTGACGTGATAATACTTCGTCAAGTATTTTTTTAAAATGGTGTAAAGTATAAAGTACTTGTGGTTTAATTCGTTTTTCTTTTGTATTCAGTTCTTAGTAATGAAAATCCATTATTTTTATCCATTATTTGGTAGTAAATATTCTACATGTACACATAAATTAATTAAACTAAAAGATCGCTTGACTACAATTAAGAATGGGATATCTGATCTTAGCTTATACGAACAACAAAAATAAAATTCTAATTAAAGTTGTTCTATATGTTTACCATGAAGCTATATAGTATAAGTATCCACAGTTAATTAACTAGGAAACATTTACTTGGTTTGAGTAAAACAGTAGTACAAAATGTTACTTAGCCAGAAATCACAAATACTTTCGACATAAACATTTTTGATCCACGGAGTAAACAGTTTCAGCAAACTGTAAGTATCATTACCAAGGTTCGATTTAATAATTTCGAATAAATTGAGCATCGGGTAGATTGTTATAAATAGTTATTATATTTGTAACATCCCAAAGAGTAGAAAAACTAAATTTTCTGACATTTCGTGACTTGGTGTAAGACACTTCTTCAGAGAGTAAATAACCAAATTAAAATTAATCCAAGTTTGAATAGTACAACAGAACAATAAGAATAATATGTGATCAATCAAAAACAGATCTGAACAAGTTAAAGTTTCAGAAAAGATACACTGTTGTATCATTTTTAAATACTTCGCTAGTTGGTTGACCAAATTATGTCGGCAGAAGGTCAGAAATATTCAGAATCCATTTATTATGAGATATTGGAAAACAGTACACTTTTTAAGGGAAATTCTTAATTCCACGGATATTTAATTCGAATGGTTGAAAACCAAAATAAAATAAAATAAATACTAAAAAGTCCTCATTAGAACATGTTAATTTAATATTGATCATATGATCTTTTGTACTGTTGTTGTAAAAAAATCTGTGGACTTTGAAGAGTAGAGTAAAGAATACGCTGCATTGCGAGTTGAATGTAGCTTAAGGCATATAGCATTTAATACCAAATAAATAGAATTGTAAATACAATGATGCCTAAACGTGAATGACACAATGTGAAGTCGTAGGTGCTCATTGTAACTCAATTCTATACTGCCAACTTCTCTAATGTTATATTTAGCTTTATTATTGAGTAACACATATTCTAACTTCAATTTAGTTCCAGCTCTTAGATACTTTAAGATTGCCGAATTCTTAACATCAACCTCTAAAGTTCAAAATATCAGTCATATTTCAATTCCTAACAACTAGGTTTATCTATCTAGACTATCAAACAATATCAATTTGTCCATTAAAAGTTTTAGCAGATATAAAGAAAATGATCATTTCATGCCCATAAATCGTTTTTATTCTCTTGAAGAGGGTAAAAAACAGAGATTTGAGGAGATCAACACAAATTCACTTTTGTGTGGTTCTAATGAGTTGTTTAAAACGTTTTATCATTAATAAATTTTAAGGGTGAGACTATAATTTATGGACGACCTTTGAGTGACCTTGAGAGTGTCTACCTACTTAATAGGGCTAAATGATAGTTACAAAGCAGTTTGAAGAATAAAGACAATGATTTACAATTGATGGTAAGGGTAGGAATTTAGATTTATGGTTTTCATCACGAACTGACATCAACTAAAATGCCAAGATGTTATTTGAACGAATGAGTGAATGAATTTCTCGCCAAAATCCAAGACTTGTTATCCTAAATCTGATTGGTTCGTTCATAAATTATAGTCTTGCCATTTTAAGTGAGCAAACTATAATGTTAGAAAATAGTAAATAGTTATTCATTGTTTTTCTTAAATAACTGTCAATCAACCTCTGATAAAGTAGAAATTTTATGTAACTTAGTCATCAGGTTTTATGGTTTCCTATGTGAAAAGAAAAATTAAAATAACAAAATCTTAAAAGTGAAATATACTCAACACGCCTTAAAGTGAAAAGAAAATTAATAATTCGGGTGTACAACATATACGTGTTATGAAACTTCCTATAGATTTTAATATGATTGCCATACATTTACTAAGTACAAACTTTTACATTCAACTTCGAGCTACATCTATTTTGTGAAGATTATAACTGATACAATATTACCTAAACAGTAGGTGAAACAAAGTAGGTGAGTAGAAGATCATTGTATAAAGAAGGAATTTTATATCTTACATTGGAACTCATAAGTATCAGTAAGTGAACGAGTTATTCTATTCTATATCCAATACGAGTTTATCTATTCTACGTGTTGCTTTATGATGTTGAAAATCAAAGAAAATCTTAAGGTACAAAACTAATTCCGATTGTGAGTGTTCCTTGAGTATGATTTTCAAAATATTCAAATACAAAATATTGTTTTAGATCTATTATATTATTTTGGCAATTCTTTATAGCATATCCGAAATCTAATTTAAACTTAAAGTGTTGATTTTAAGTATACTATTTAAGTGCTTACATGCGTCTAGAGTGTAGTTTCATATATATCTAGGTTTTACCATGATTAAAACTAGTTCATCTCCGCCTGTAGCTCTTCAAAAGCTACTGTCGGTCTCAAGCGCGGGTAAAGAAGGAGGGTTGGGCATAGGGTCGGCAACCCTATCTCGTAGAAAAATATCTTGTTAAAAAATACGTCAACCAGTACAGCTAGTTCGATGTGAGTGAAATGCTGTAGTAGAGTAAATACTGGAAGTTTTATAGCTTTAAAACTAATTTATAGACTATTATTTGTCATGTCCTATTTTCCGACAAATATCATGTGAGACAAATCGCCAATCAGAATACTGGTTTTGTCATATTGTCCCTGTGCTAAGCCTATGACAAGTCAACCAGCACTAGTAGCCCTCAGTCAACTCTGAGTACTTTATGATCCTCTGTTTGGTAGCTGCTTGAGTGGTTTATGTACCAGATCGCATCACACCATCAAATGAATAATAATTATTATACACGTTAAAGCCGAAAGCGGCTGTGAGTATGGAAACCTGTAACTAATAGGGTATAAGTAAATTAGGAAAATTAAATTGTATAACAGTAGATCTCCATCCAACTCTGTTCTGGACTGTCCTTTCCAGTTGTTCACAGTTGCTATTCAACCTTTTGATTCCTGCTTCTAATACTCGACGCAGTGTGTTCTTTGGTCTTCCTCTTTTCGGTTTGCCTTCAGGATTTTAAGTTAGCGCTTATCTCGTGATGCAGTTTTATGATTTCCATAATACATGTCCTACATACCTCCAACGTCTTTTCTTAATTTCCTATTCAGTTGAAATTTGGTTTATTCTCTTCCACAGTAGGTTGCTGTTGATTGTATCCGACCGACAGACGTTGAGTATCTTGCGTAGACAATTGTTTATGGATACTTACACTTTTTTGATGATGGCTGTAGTAGTTCTCTAGAATAATTCCCGGCAGTTACTATTCATTTATTCTTCGTACGGATGTAAATTCGGTAAATTATTTAATTAGCCATAACTTATAGGTTTTATTCGACACTGTCTGTTTTCAGTTGCAGTGTCACTGAAAACTAAAAGAGAATGGATGATGTGTGATGAATACAGGCTAGAAATTAGAATAATCTTCATAACACTTTCTCAAGCAAACTATTATTGCTTACTGGTGACTTACTTCAAGAAGTCCCATTTAGTCATAATTAGAAGTCAATATAATTGAAGTCCAGATACCTGGAAGGTGAATTGTACAGCTCAATAACACGAGCTTATTACAGTTAGAACTTCACTGCTGTACTACGACCCAGTGATTCTAGTGCTTTAACGTTCACAACATGACTTGAATGCCTTAGGTTTTATCCTTAGTGATGTGTATAATGCTCAAGAATCACATGCTAAAATAGAACACCTGTTCAGTGATTCCATGCTTTCTTTGATATCCCAATTGAAATCAAACTGTGGAGAATATATCACACAAATTAAATCAATCTTCAAAAGAAATTCTTTCAATTAATTAACCATATATTGTAAAATTCAACAAGCAAACATATATTATTCTGTCAACTATCATATTTTTTTTATTTTTCTGCTTTCCAACTGTGTTACTTATCTCTGAAATAAATTTATTTCCATTCAATTAATTTATAGGTTTCATTAATTTCATTACTATCTAATCCATTATTACATATTTAAAATGTACATAGTTATATTACTTTTTATGATAACAAGTAGCATAAATTAGAAATCAGGTCAACGATATAATTTAGTCAGCTGTGTACTAATTAGAGAAAGAACGGAAGTTCATTGTTTAAAATAAACATGTTTACATGTTCATACAGATTTTCTATATTTTATGACTTATTTGAAATTCCTCATCAATATTATTTGTTTCTCTTCTTTTACTCTACGCTTTGGTTGTATGATATGTTGATAAATAATATAATGTGTATTTCTAATAATTTACTGTTTTAAGGATAGATGAATAGTGGCTAGTAGTGGAACCTAGGACGCGCGTTTCGTCCTATTTAGTACTCGTCCGCTGGATGTACCTGCATCGCGGAGTTAATGTTCACTCTAGGACTCCAACCTAGTACCGTTCTCTTCAAACGCCATCACGTTATCCACTTAGCTACTAAGTCCTGATAGCCACCTCCTTGTTCAATGGGGTGAATTTCAAATTCACTTAATGTCGTTTTACTTGTATCTTCCCATTGAACATCAACTCTGCAATGCAGGTACAACCAGCTGACGAGTTCCAAATAGGACGTAACGCGCATCCTAGCCACTATCCATTATCTCTTAAAAAGGTTGTAAGTTAAGGCTATATCTAGGCAATCCGCCCAGGATGCATATGCCAACATTAAACGGATCAATTGCAGTCCAAAATAACAATGGGAAGATACAAATAAAACAACATCAAGTGAATTTAATTTGTTATTCTGTTTTAAGAAAAGAAATAAGTGAATTATAGAAGGGTAAATAGGCCTATAAAAATAATTTATAGTAGAATGATACCGTTTACATTCAATTTATTTATGAAACTTGAAAAACTATCTTTTTTTGGAGGGGTGTAATATAATTATAATGTCAACTGTGTAGATTTTGCCCACGGAAACCAATGAAAAGCATATTAATGACAATAGTGTAAATATATGGTAATTTTTACGACGTTAGTGAATTGTTTAAGGTAATTAGATTAAGTGTATTTATCAAATTATATAAAAGTACATTGAACATCTTAAGTTCATATTTTAACATGTTCTTGTGAAAATTTGATTTGATTTAATAAAATTGATTCATTTATTAGTGGTTTATGATAATTCACTGTGAAAGTCTTCAGAAGACAGAAGAATGCTGAAAATATTTCAATCGATTAGATTTCTTCTGTAACTTGCAAAACAATTCTGGAAACTAACAAAATATTCTTTGAATTATTTTGATTAGGCAATTACCAATATATATTTATATATATTTGAAAATTTTGGTGTTTTTCTCAGAAGCTTCTAGAACGTTAAGGTCACATATGGTGCCATGGATACCCTTGTTTTCTGTACTCTAACTAAATTTGAATTTGAAGTTTCTTTCGTCCTTTGTCTCCTGGGGATTAAGAAAGTGGACATTAGTATCCAAGTGTTCAGTTATAAGATAAACTAAAATATAAATATTATACTGTTAACAATATTTGAAATATTTTTTAACAATTTGTTAATAAATAGATAGGATTAAATGAGACAACAATTCAATTCCTTACATTTGAAAGTATGTATTGAACAATAAATTACTCAAATAATCATTGTTTTGTTAGGGTTTAACTTTACTAGATACTAATGACTTTTTGATCAGTATCTGTTGGTATATATTCATATACACCTTGATATTATCTTTTAGTTATTTGTCAGCCAATTGTATCTATACCTCATCATTCATATCTACACTGATACCCAAATCTAATGCATATGGTATCAGTTGTTGATAACTGGTTTACGCAACACTGTACATTCAAATATAATCTTTGTGAACAAAAACAACACTTCAACTGATTCCCTTTAAATTACATTTTAAATGAAATCACTCTACAAAACGTATTGAAAGATATTTTTATAACACAATTAACTGCTGTTGATGTTTAATCACAAATCCCATAGATCACATCTACTCTTAATACTTTATACCCTGGATAATATATATACCGGATGAGAGATTGCGAAAGGATTTGGTTATCTCTTTTTCTGTATGCACTCTAATGTAGTGGGATACAACACAGTAATCTTAATTCTAATGTCAAGTACAATATCTTTAAGATTTTCATTGAGAATCTGATGTTTTGCACTTTTGAGCAGTAATAGTTTCTCGAAATTACAACTTAAATCATTTTTTTACAAACTTCCCCTTTGCTCAATATAATTTATTGCTATTTCTATTAGAATAAAGACCTAACATTTCTTGATCATTTCTAGTGTATTAAGTCATTTTGTATTGTTTGCTATTCTTCTTCTTCTTCAGATTCAGCGTAATGTTCATACACTTACACAAGAAAGAGATCAAATTAACAAATTATACAACGATGTAGGTTGACATTGTTCCATCTATTATTACTGTTGTCAATGATTTTATCAATAGCGATGAAACTTAAAATAATCAATTAGGAAATCAGAAATAAAATTAGGGATAATTATTATTTAACAGAAATCTTAAGTCACGAACTGATCTTCGACCACCATTGAAAACTTAGAAAGATTGGATGGCAGTTTCATTTTTATGTGGAACTCGTTAGTAATGATAATTGATCCTTACTAACTTTCGAGTATATATACCAGTAAAGTATTGTGAAATGACTTAACTATTCATGTCATTAAGGATATCGCCATACGAGTTAGTTCTGAATATATCCATCAATTTAACCATTTTATAAATGAAAATATAAGGATGTCAAACTTGTTATATTTAGAATTGTTTTGTCTCGAGAAATACCATAATTGTGTAAGAAATTTTAAGGATCGAGTAGAAAACTCAACAGTTCCGAAATTTAAAGCATATGTGACCAGTAATGATTTGTTTAGGTAAATGACCTTCAGTTTGACGATAAGTTTTCAAATCAAAGATTCTTTATTTGTGTTTATAAGAAATACATACATTTATCATTTATCTGGTTTTACGGAAATTATGATTTTCTCTTTTTTTCCTAACTATAATTATTCACACTAGTCACGAAGTGAAATACACCGATTACATCAAGATCTTTATGCAATGCATGAAACTGGTGATCGAAATACACAAACTACACAAACTGTTTTACGACGTGTTGAATCAGAACGAGATCGTGCATTAGTTGATTTATCCAGAGTAACTGCTGAACGTGATAGTTTAATTACAAAATATAAAGTATGTAGAACACTGAAAATTACTAATTTACTGTTGATGTTTTGTATAATTTTAATATGCCTACACATAACACTACACTTATGCACACGAAGTACGATATATAAACACCAATTTAAGTATGCACAGATATTATTACACTCTATGTTGTCATCATTTTTATTGCTACTGTGTACTTTTTCATCTCACTTTATGGTGTATAACATCTAATTTAGAAACAAATCACTACAGACTTGATAATTTACATAATGCTGTTACAGATATATATCTTTATGACAGTTAGATGATTTTTGGTTGTTGCTGTTGTTTCGAGCAAAAAATTCAACTTCTTTATTTTAGAATTGTACAGAAAATGCTCATGCGGATAAATTACGTTTAACTAATCAATTGGATCATTTAGAAAATAGTTTAAATCAAGTTTCAGAAGAACGAGATGAAGTAATTAGACGTGTATCTATGCATCGATTACGTATAGATGAATTACAACAACGTCAACAACAGTTAGAGGATAGTTTAGCTGAACGACAAGAATTACTTAAAGTAAGTTTAATTTATTGATAGAAAGAATTTTCAAATTCCAGCTGATGGTATTCAGGGTTAAAATTAATCAATATCTCTTATCATTTATGTATTTGAATAAGTGATTGGTTCAATCGAAAAGTACTGGGTCTGGGTCTAGTTGTAAACATCAGAACTAGGATGTGCATATATCCAACTGACGGGTCCGAAATAAGACGAAATATATATTTTGGAACTTACTGCTAGTCATATGATAAATATAAGTTTAATTTGGTTTGATCTATTTGCATTTTGACAGTTCTATTAAGTTCTTTTTTTTTGTAATCAAACTCTGCTGTAAGAAGGTGTGAAACTATTCAGTGTACGTGTGCGGCAAGATAATCCCAATAGTCTGATCTCTTCTGTTTAGGTTGAATCATTTCTATGAAGTGAGATAAGTTAATGACAGTTTGTGTTTACTTTCATTATGTATAAAATATCAAATATTAACTCGGTTATATATGAATAAAAAGATGGATATAAAAATTTTTATTCTACGATACTCAATAGGATCTAACCACTTAGGTAGCACATAGAATTATTTATGGAGGTTGTTAATCTCCTCCATGATGTTCTTATTTCTAGTCCCTAAAAACTAATGAAACTTTGACTATCCAAACTATCATAGTTACACTGTTAATTGTGTAACTTTAGACGAAATATATCGATTTGACTGAGTTGTTTGGTTTCTTACGAATTAACGTGAAAAATCTACACAAGTTAATTTCTCACTCAACACTATGAAATATTAAATAGCTGCATTTTATCTGACTTCCAATATGGTTGTTTTGCCACATGAATAATTTGATTTCTGTCCCTTAAATAGTTCGATGTGATCATTTTTCAACAAAAGTGTGCTCAAGCTCTTTATTACCTTTTTTCCGATAAAAATAAAATCATTTTAATTGAAGTTAGATGAATGGAGAAAGTCGACAGAAAACCCTGAGTCTAGATCTCACGATTGTTAATAATTGACTGCAGGAAGTATCTGGAATCTTGAGGGGACTGATGCTCCTTATGGGATTAAGACCTGAGTTATTTAGATTTACAATTTGGATCACCACTGTAATAGAATAGAGATATTCACAGATGACTGATCACTGATCAGTGATCAAGCTCAACAACACTGATGGACTGGACAAATACGACATTGATAATTACTCAGTGGTCAGTCACTCTGTTACCAACTGACAAATAGATTTTTATTATTTTATCAGCGATTATAAACGGAATAAAAATGATAAATTTGTTAATTAAATCCAATTTTATATTCCTTTATGCTTTTCTGTATTACTAAGAAAGTAAATGAAGAATCAGCTCAACTCAAACAAGAAGCAGAATTACAAAATAATCGTTTAGAAGAACGTGAATTACAAATATCTCAAATGAATGAAAGGACACGTGTTATGGAGATGGATTGTAGACGGTTACATGAAAGAGTTGATGAATATGATATGAAATTACGCAAAGAAAGAGATGAATGTTCACTCTTACGTAACCAACTACAAAATATTGAAGAAGAAAAAGTCAAATTACAAGTGAGTTAAAGTTTACTGTCAGTTTATTCTTCAGAAAAGTTTAGTGATTGGTCGAGCTATATTTTTGAGTCGCAACGTTGAAAATTAATGAATATTAGATTGATTGCTCAGCAAGTGCTAAATCCGTTCATGGTGATGGCTCGGTTAGTGATTGGCTGACTTTGAAAGCTTTGATATTTTATGCTGTCTTTACATTCCCACTGACTAATATGATTAACTGACCTGAATATCATTGATAGACAGGTCGGATATGTGTTAACAGATCTACTGATTCCTGACTGACTTAAATACCAGTATTTTAGAACTTTCCATGGCATAATTAGACTTCAGATAACAGCAAAGTCACTAAGGAAATATTAATTAAAAAATATCATTGAAGTTATCTTTCCAAAATGGACTAACATAAAATAGCAGAAGGATTAGATGACCTGAGTTCTCCTTAGCACCCCACACAAATAGAAATAAATTTGTTGAATATAATTAATATTTTGGAAATCTGGAATGACCTACCTAATTATAATGCTCAGAAACGTATGCTAGGATTCCTTGAGGATTATTAGATAGCCCAAAATAGATAGATTTACAAGTGTTTACAAACAAGAAACACGGGTTCTTGCTTTGTTGATGTCATAACGTGAATGTAATGTTCATAATATCATAATTTCATCGGTGAGTGATATACTTGCTTAAATGTCGTAAGTCAATGTTAATACTAGCAGAAATAGTGATTCCTTGTTTGATGATAATATGACACTAGCGTGATAATTAAAATATGATGAGGGATAGTGGCTAGCGGTGGAATCCCGGACGCGCGTTTCGTTCTATTTGAGACTCGTTATCTGGATGTACCTGCATCTCAGAGTTGATGTCCACTCTGGGACTCCGACCCTGTATTGAGTCCTGATAGTCACTTCCTTGTTCAATGGGGTGAAGTTTAATTCGCTTGGTATTGTTTTAGTTAAGTCTCCTCATTGATGTTTACGACTGAAGTAGATCAGTCTCTTATTGGCATATGTGCATACTGTGAGTATTGCCTCGATATTGCCTTAATTTACAAGCATTATAAGCAAAGAAAGATAGTGGATAATACTTGTAAATTAAGGGAATATCGAAGCAATACGCACAGTATGCACATATGCCAATAAGTGACTGATCAATTTCAGCCCTAATTGTCAATGGGAAGATTTATGTACAACAATACCAAGTGAATTAGAATATGATGGTTACTATAATCATAATGGAATGATCCGCCAAATAGATCAGTAAGAAGAGTCAACACGAGGACAAAGTACCGACAAAGTTATATGATTTGAGTATGCTCATGTCCCTTCTGTACTGGCTTTTCTGAATGTGTCGGATTAGTGTTTGAGTTGGCCTATTCGGAAGTTAAAATAACCCATGTGGGTTTGACTATAATAGTGAATTGTTGATTATTCAAATCATTTATTCTTTCACGCATTCAGGTTATGTTGTTCCGAATTTTCAGACACAGCGTGAATTAAGCTAGACGATCACTTGAAACAGTGCCTACAAACCTGCTTTCATAACATTACTTTGTATGTATTATCAAGTTATTTACTAGTTGTAACGTTGGTTTGGTCATAATTATTTATTTTTGCATTATGAGCATTTGACTACTGTAATATTATTTAAGTAGTTTCAACTGGAGATGATTTATCTCGGAAGCTACTAAAATTTCTTCATTATATGTTTTCTTAATTATAGTGTAATTACACTTATTTTCTCATGAACATGTAAAACATAATTTCGGTACAATCTTTTTTCGTTTTGTACATAGTGCGACTTTGATAATTTAACATGTGAACGTGATGATTTGGTAAAACATCAACGTCAAATTGAAAAAAGAGCACAAATTAATTTATCAGAACGTGATCGTTTGTCTAGACAAGTGAATGATTTGAATGATTTAAAAGAAAGTCTTGAAAAACAACTTAGACAATTAGAGAAAGATTATTCTGATCAGGCAACTAAATATCAAGTAATTACTACGGTTTTTTATTCATACGGTTTTCGTGTTTACATAGTTTATTCCAATATAGCCGAACAGAACTGTTGTCCCTGGCGTCTTTTAATGGATTTAATCTTCATCGGTATTATCATTGAATTTATTGAGATGGATTTTCTAAAGGTGTTGTCATAAATATATTACTCGGAACCTGAAAGAACGATCATAGACGATGTATATAAGACTGAATATCGATGCTGTGTCAGGACATATGTGACCAATGTTTAAATGTCTATCTGTCCCAGTGTAAAGCCAGGCGGTTGATGTCGTTGTTATATAGTAAGCTGTTCATGACATTCACTTAGGTGTCTTTCAAACAGAAATCTGGCTAAACATTTATAGATGTAGTGAATTTTCTTTCCACTTATGACGGATCAAACCAAATAATCATATCAGTTCAAAGAATTCACCTGAAACACTAGGCATTGTGTTTTATGAAATCAGAACACTGTTTATTATATATTAATTTATTTTATAACGAGAAGCTCTGTTTATGTATATTAAATCAACCATGGATTGATACTTTTATGATTACCGTATTTATTTAAATGATAAGGATCCTTGATTTGAAAGCATGCCACTTATTATTAATATGTAGGTCACCATATTAATGTTAAACTAATATCAATCCAAACAAGCCTTGCTCGTCATGGGTTTAAGTGACATTTTTTGTGACCTGATATGTATACTAATCAATTCACCTACACGGCCAATACGACCGGTAACCTATTTTCGAAGTGACACACCCACCAATGAAAGGTAAGCAAGGCCTTAACTCATATTGATCCTCAAACTCCTAACCAAATAGCCAATAAGAAGTAAACCATTTGTTTATTGTGCTCAATTCAGTCATGCCAAAAAGCATACAATAATCGAAGTGACATCATAGAGTGCACCAAATACGAAATATCATAATTTGAATGTAATTAAGCCATAAGTGATGGAGAGTTGAACGACCAGTGCATAATTTATTAGTAACATCTAAGGAATAGTAAAACGTAATATGTTCACTAAAAGCTTACGATGAGAGGAATATAGAAATGTAAAAACAGTTATCCAATTAGAAATATAGATAATAATGATCGAAAAATTAATTTCATAACTTCCAACTTTCCCAGTATCCGTAACGTTATAACGAAGTCGTAATGAGAACAATTCGTAACGATAGTTGAAGCTAATCAATCCATTCTGTTTTTACAACAAAAATATTTATTTTTTTTCGTATATTTAAAGCTTGAACGTGAGGCGAATGAAAAGTTACAGCAACGTATAGATACAGCTATTCATAATAAAAATTCAATTGATCGAAGAGCTAATTGGCTGGAACAACAAACAGAGGAATTAAGATCACATATAGATCAATTGGAACAACAATTATCTACTCAGAAAGATGAAAATAAATGGATGTCAGAAACTAATGAAAAGTTAACAGCTGATAATGAATCACTAAGAGTGTGTGATTGTACTTTATGTTTGTTATCTGTAGAATATTTGTCTTTAGAAATGAGAATTTTTTTGTTATGAACCTCATCTCATTAGTGAAAAGACTACAGGAACATGTAATTTCATATAATGTCTCATACGTTTACGCAATCAGCGTCTGGTCATATTGAAGCATGATAAGATCGTCTCATTATCTAATCTGTAATACGGAAAAGTGAACTGCTAAGATCATTTTCTTTGATGATAAAATTTAGTTATGACATTGAAACAGTCCCCGATATGAACCCTTATGAAGTGTCTTTGTTTAATTTTAGTTTCTTGATTAATTTGTCAAGTAGTTTGATAGAGTTTGCAAACGGCTAGAAAACTTGACAATTAGTTTTATATTAAGTTCGGGACATACTTTAAGGAAATATGAATAAAGCTTCCACATTATGACTTAACGCCTTATAGCTGAATATTTGTTAGGTAATCTAGTTAACTGACTTTTGGAATCCTATGTCAACTTTTCCAGACACCTGCCCGTATAACCTATCATTGGTTAGGGTTGATCTAATAATCATGTCTTATTTGATTCAATTTCTCAAAGAATATTAAAGATTATTGTGTCATATGTATAGAAAGTTGGTCTAATGAGATCTGTCAATAATAAGAAAATGACGTTAGTCACGATTAAATATCTCATTAGAGTAAACATTTCAGTTATACAGAAGGTCAGTATAGACCTTAATTGTTCAATGGCAGAGCATGTAACCATGGTTCGAAGTGATGCGAATTCCGATCCAACAAGGATCTTCACTAATTGTAAAACTGTAGACGCAATTTACTGACACTAACATACTTACGCCTGTTACTCCGAGTGGAGCATAAGCTGCCAACCAAGATTCTCCAGCCAACTCTGTCTTGGGTAATCCTTTCCAGTTGTTTCCAATTGCTACTCACTTTTTATATCTATCTTCAATTCCTTGAGCAATTTGTTATTTGGTCTATCTTGTTGCCTTTTACCTTCAGGATTTGAAGTTTGATGATTTTCACAATGTATGTACTGACACTAAAGACTTAACGATATACAATTATTAATCGAATATTGATTGTATTCCCTAAAAATTATAATTTAAAGTTCAAACAGAAATCATCGTCATACATTCATTAGAAATTTATTGGTAATTGTAAAACCCTCATATCAAAACATTTTTATTTATTATAACATAAGTGATAATTGATTTATAATTAATTTCAACCAAGAAATGTATTTCTTTATATACAGATCATTCTATTTAATACGATTCATAAAATGAAAGCATGAATTATTACAGTTTACTATTAACAGAAGGAGATTTTGAGGAGAATTTTAGTAATTTAATAGTTCAATTCATGAGTCAATTAAAGCTAAACCATCATGGGAAATCTGAAAGCACTGAAAGGTCGTTTCGTCCTAGTATGAAACTCCTCAATAGTACTCATTCACGATGTCTCCCACTGGATTTGAACCCAGGACCTATCGGTCTCACGCACAAAACAAATTTGTGAATTTTCAAGTTTTTTTCTAACGCTTCCCATGTATTCATTAGATAAGTAACCGTTATTAATTATACACTTATACATCACAACGCACATGGAGAAATTCAAACACTTCACTTCTATCTGGAGTTTGTGCTGATGATGTCGTTCAGAAGAACGATGAAAGCTCCACGACCAAACGATCCAGCTCAGTGAACAAAACTCCATCACAAACTTATACATCAATGTTTAGAACTATTGTAATATACGAAAACTGATATGACCATTAGGATTTTCTTAAGCTTATTGAATTTAGAAAGAATATTTTCCAACAGATTTGTATTACTTCAGTTTTTATGAGCAATGTTTACAAAACCCTACATTAAACAATCGCTGATAAATATCTAATGTCATGTTTCTCGAACTGTATTGATTAAATTACATAGTGGATAATGCAAGTATCTCGGTTTTGAAATAAATCAGTCATCCTGCAAATATATCAATAATAAAGTTTCAGTTTCTGATAATACTTGATCCGTATTCTAATCTGCCAGGTCAAATCAGCCCGTTCAAGATTTCATTAACGTCAACTAACATGATACCTAGGTTCAGGGTTTCTTACTAACTTTTCCAATCATTCAGTAACAAATCTTAACGTTGGCTCAACTCCACTGACATAAGTGACACGTTAACAATATATATAATTTGCATGTCTAGTATTTCAGTTATCTTATGTCTAAATTTAATGTTACAGCTTTTGTGTTCTAGTCAAGCACTATAAAATTCATTTGAATTTGATAGATTTGATGTTGCACGTTATTAAATAAAGCACTTTATTAACACTAAACATTTTAATATAACAACACACTGCTTCATCACTACTGTTATGATTTGTGCACAGCGTATTAGCTTTGAATGTTTACGGTAAATGTCTTTTTGTGTACACTTTGTTGTTTTTTTTTAATGTTCCGTTATCCAAAGATAGCTTGCATGATAAAAAAAGCATGATAACGTTTAGTCTTATCTTGAGAGATATATGGGTAATTTATGGTGTTACCGTGTGTGTGTGTGTGTGAATATCTTAGATAATTTAGTAAATAGAATTGTTCATGAGATGGTGAAGATTTTGATGGAATTTTCTTCTCTGAGTTGGATGGTTTGATCATGGAGCTATACATCGTTGTTCTTCTACCTGCATTCTGTACTGATGATATCGTTCAGAAGAACAATGAAAACTTCACGACCAAGTCATCCAGCTCAAAGAATAAAACTATCAAAAAGAAATGTTCATTAGTAAAGTATATGTTTTTCATAGAAACGTTTCTTATAAAGAAAATCATGTTGTTATGCAGTGTATGAGAATTTCAAAATGAGTAGAATAAAAAGCATCTAGTCAAATGTTATATGAATGATGAATAACTAAAAGATGATCAATTATCAGTTACATAATACAACATTAGCAAAGATTTATTTTTGGTCTATAAAATGTTTATACGATAAAACTTAAACTGTTGTATATTTTGAATAGAAAACGTAAATGACTAACTGGATTATATAAATACATATTCATAATGAGATTATCGGATGATTAATCTTCCCTACATAAAACTGTATAGATAACAATCCATAATCTTAAAGAGGAAGAGTGTATTTGTAAAATCTCAGCGAAAGAATTTGAAGTAAATCCAACGTTTCGCCTGGCAATCCTTGAAAAAGCTTGGACCTGATTGCCAGGGGAAACGGATATACTTCAAATTCTTTCGCTGAGATTTTACAAAGTCATTCTTCCTGTTTAGTGTTTTACATTAACTGGCGCCCAGGTACTGTGAAACTATTCGTTCAAATTTAGACGAAAGTTCTTATTTATTAATCCATAATCTTGTTCAGTATTTTGATAATGAAAATCTTTCAGAATTACTAGATATCATCTTTCTGTAACTTCAGAAGTAAAAAATTATTAGACAAGGTTCATAGTAATCTTACAAGTTTCGCAATAAATACGACTTTATATAGTGATCATTTATTGTTATCGATAGTACTATTCATACTCTCAGTGCTTTTCAATTCTATTAGTTACTGCCTCACACTAAACCTTACATGAATCTATCGTCAAATTATTTATTAATGAAATAGTATTTATTATTAGGATAAGATAGTTTTGGTGAGATTGTTCTCATATGACTCATTAGAATCTGGTCGTTACTAAAAATCTGACATAGATTTATCGTTCAGTGAAGTTTTGTAAAAGAAATACCTTTTCAATATTTTAAATTGTAACTCAATTGATCGTACAGGTAGTTCATCATAATGTATTCATATTATAACTATCACTTACTAAGTAGAAAGCATTCATACTAACAATTAAAAAAATATATAGTAAATACTTTTTTTCTTTTTGTATCTAACATTTTATAGGCTACAGTTGAATTGGCTAATAAAGATAAAGTTCATTTAGAATCATGTATTGAAGAAATGAGTTCAGCGCATAGACAATCATTAAGAGAACGTGAAGATTTGGTTCAACGTTCCAATGGTCTTCATGAACGAAATATTGAACTTGATGCAGAAAATAAGAAATTAGATTTAGAAGTGAAACGTAATGCTGAAGCGTTACGAGTAAGTTATTTATTTCTTTTTATTTAAAAACAATTTCGAAGGTATTATGAATGACTTTTACGTTGATTCTGGAACTTATCAATTTTTGTAAATAATAGAAAGTGTAGGTTGTACGGCATATGAAAGGGATTTTAAATGTCATACTATGGTTCGGTATGTTATACAGTTTAAGTTTATTGAATTCATATACTCGATTATAGATTTGAAAAGGCTTTCAATGGTTATATATTAGTTATCAGTATAAGGTTGTGGAGATAGTTAAGTTTTTGATTGAGATCATGGTTTTAGATCACCGTTGAAAAACTGGGAGCACTGGACGGTTATTTCGTCCTATTGTGGGACTCTTCAGCAGTGCACATGCACGATCCCGCTCACGGGATTAGAACCCAGGGCCTCCGGTCTCGCGCGCGAATGCCTAACCTTTAGATCACTGAGTCGGCGTCCACTGGTGTTACTGTCTAACCTCAACAAATCCGCGAAATTGTGCGACCATCTTCCATTGTACTCAAGTAGATACCTGTCTCTATCCAACACGGATTATCTCCACTGCTCACACAAACTATCAACAAATGTAAAACAAAATATTGTAATAAATTTTCTAAAGGAACGTGTTAAGTTAAGTTTTGTTATAGTAGTGTTCAAGTTTCAACTAATAAGAAGTCATCAATAAAGATCATATTCGAAAATCAGTCTATCTCTCTTGATATATTAGCTCTTTATGCGGGTGTCTTGATATTGCTTGAAATCATAGGTTTTAGTATACTTTGCGTTCTAAACTGTTAAGGCTAATAATAATAATAATAATCAGAACGTTTGGTTAAATTAATCGGTACCCTAACTCACTGATTTAATGAATAGGGGATTATTGTTAGAAGAGAAAGGGAATTAATAGGAATTTCTGTATGAACATCAATACTGTAATGTAGGTTCATCTACGTGAAAAATTCCAAAAAAAGAGAAAGTGTGCGTCCTACAATTCCTCTGTTATCCACAATTCAAAACGATATCATCTCAACTGATAGTTTGTCAGATAATTTTCAAAGAATTATTATGCATTTTTAATAAATTGCTTAAACATTAGTCATTTAATATTCCGAAAGGATTCTGTGCAATTTTTTTGTTTACTTTTTGATCTCTACAAACTGGTTAACATGATAATTCATCGTTTGTATTTCTTTTGATGATTAGTTTGACTTTCAACCAGCTGTCTTTAAAATTTCAAGTTTTAGATCCCATTCAAATTTTAAAAATAGTGACATTTAGTGAATATCAATGAAGATCATAAATATTCTTTATGTTTCTAAGAATAATTTACTAAAAATCTATTTCTTCATCGCTTAGTATTCAATTATGTGACCTGATACATGGATGCTTACTGTCATATAATTGAGCTACTGAAAACATTCCTTTAAGGATTGAAATATATATATATATATATATATATATATATAGCCCTGATTAGGTCGTGGTTAGATACTACGGATGTTATAAAATAAGATGAACCAACGGTTCTGTAATACTCCACCCAATACCAGTCCGTGATGAAAATTAAATTATTCTCAAAATTACTATTATGTGCTAAACCTTCATCAGTTATTAATTAATGTAATAGATCATTATTTTAAAATCACTAACAATCACTATCATATTTGTTTTCTTTCTATAAATTAGGCAGAAAGAAATACGAATGCTGATCTTCAGCAACAGTTAGAATTATGCAGACGAAGATCAGAAACAGCTGAAAGAGACGCAAATGATTGGAGTTCACGTGTACGTTTGGCAGAAGATCAATTGCATAAATCTGAAACACGTGTTGTACAATTAGAAAGAGAATTACGCGTAGAAAGGGATGATTACAGTCAATTAAGATCAAGAATGGAAATGTTAGAAGAAGAAAAACAAAATTTAGAGGTAATTTAAAAACATTTTAATTCCTTGGTGGAGTATAGAAAGAACGTAAACTACAAGTTATGTATACAAATAAAAGCTCAATATTCGATGTTTCAGTCACACATTTTAAAATCAACTAAAGAGTAAGGGTACAGACATAGCCTGTTGATTTAACCATTCTCAACTCAGTTGTACATACTTAAGCTCAGGCATCAAGTCGGTGTTTTTCCAATATTCACACAATAGATGTAGTGTGTGAACCTACATTAAAGAAATGTCGGTATGTAGTGAAAGTATAAACATTGATATGTTCTAAATCTTACTTTACTAACGGATTTTAGAACATAGGAGATCCATATTTAATCATTATTGTTGAACAATCATGTTTGGTCGATATTGTGATATCCAAAACATGGATCTAACATTCAGTTTCTATTCAAGATGATCATAAATGTATGATGTTAGTGCGCATTGTTATTTTAGAAATATTTTTTAAGCATATCAGCAAGAATTTCTAAAGCTGTCACTTCTTAAATTCGATGCTTATTACATATTGTCAAGGATAACAGGAAGTGCTTCGATTATATTTTATCATTTATAAGTTACCTTTTCAATATGGCATAATCTCAGTATGTACAGGTGTTTTAGAGTATTATTGTACTTAAATGAACATATAGATTTTCCTCAAGTGGAAATGATTAGTTTAAAATGCCATAAATGAGGTTAGTGATTACACTTGATAGGAAATTTAAAGCTTCTACTTTATTGTACTCATCATTCTTGTTATTTTCAGTAATGACTGACTGATACGTCAGCAAAAAGAAAAGAAACAATTATCAATGCGGGTATCTGTTATGTCTAGAACTTGGAGTTTTGCTATACCGCGTACAAATTGAACACTCTAAAGACTGAACCATCCAAGTCATAAGTTAGAGAACAGAAGACGAGTGGAAAGCAAATTTTATTCCAACTAGTCAAATGTGGCACAAAACACGAGGGTATTTATGATATTAAGTAAAAACGAAATCATTATCACAACCATCCAATCGGCATAAGTACTTTTTAGAATATATCCAATCGGGAAGCTACATCTCTAAATTCTGAAATGTTCTTCTAAACGATGATTGTATACAATTTCCTCGGCTTTTTCAGAGTTTCATTAAGTTCACCAGTAGCCGTTTTCACACTATTCAAATGTATATATTTCTTTTGCATTACAACTGAACTTTGCGCTGCGATGAAAATTTAAACATGATTAGTAGGGGCATTTTGTGGTTTAGTGTATTGATTATTTGACTGGTAGTCTGACATCGTGTTTCTCATAACCATAGTTGATTGCTGTCACAGACCCACAAAATAGATGAAAATCTGTTTAAAAAGAATCTCTTTTCTAATATTAAGTAAATCGTAGTGTCAGTTACTATGTTAAGACCATATACTTTATTCTAACTTCTAAACAGGTCAATTTATCCGTACTTCTTGAGTCACATTTTGACCTTGTTAATTATTCACTTGTCGACCCTGACTTTTATATATGAGCGTGTGTGCAACTTTATCCTACTCATCACATGTCTGTAGCTTATTTTTGTGTGACTATAAATATTGATTAACGCTTGATTAAATGGAATTAGCTCACAGGTCTTCTCCACCGCGCGTCATTTCCCTTCTTTCTCTCTCTCTTCTACTTATCATATCCCTCTCATTTCCTGTCCAGATCAATGAGTGTGCAAAACATATGTATTCAAAAATCCATTCTCGTATTCGATTTATTTAATTCCGTTATACACTAAAGCAAATTAAGTCGATGATTATATACAAGTATTGGCGATATGTATATTTCAATAACAATCAATAACATTCATACGATCTAATTGGAGTCAGATATAGGGTCAGTAAAAATTCAAAGTGATTGCCTTTATTTGATAACATGTTTGTAGTTAGAATTTTCTTATCTTAGTACTTAATTTTTAAAAAAATTCGGCCAGACTATAATTTATGGACGAACCAATCAGGTATAAGACAATAGATCTCGGATTTTGACGCAAAATTCATTCACCCATTTGGCCAAATAGCGTCTTGGCATTTTATCTGATGTCATTTTGCGATGAAAACTCTAAATCTGATTCCTAACCTTAACCAACAACTGTAAATCGTAATTTTAATTCCTCACATTGCTTTATAACCCTAATTTGGTCCTAGTTATTAGGTGAACACTCTCAAGGTTACTTTAGCGTCACTTAAAGGTCGTCCATAAATTATAGTCCCATCAAAATTTCTACGCCAGTCTTAAATTTATAAATCAGCTTTGTATAGTGAAATAAAGTTAAAATATTCACCGTTATTAAGAAGTTTAGTTATCTTGCTTATTATATTTAGCTGAAATCTTCATTTCTCATACAACAGAGTACTTATTTATAGTCGATAATACAAAACTGTACAAAAAATACTAAGTTACATTTGTTATTTTGTTGAGAACTTTCAAAGTTTAACCAATTCCTATCTGGTTATTTAACTTTAAAATTGAATTGTACAACAGTTTTCCTGTTGAAAATTAATTAATTTTATTTTAATACATTAGATTAATTTAAAGGAAACATCTCAAAGATTATCACACACTGAAGTTGATTTATCAAGTAGACTACGTGAAATTCATGATATACGATCAGCACATGAAGAAGCCGTACGTACAAATACACGTACACAAGAAGCTTTATCTACACGTAATAGTGAATTAACAGCTGCTAGAACTGAATTAAATTCAATACAAACAAGTTTATCCGAAACACGTCGACTATTAGAATCGGAACAACGTGAAACATCAAGACTAAGAGAAGATTTAAATCATATGGCAAGGGAATCACAAACATTACAAACAGACCTACAGGTAATTTGTTTATAACCAAATATACATAATGTAGGTAAATAGATGTTATTTTACATATACTACAAACTACTTCAAATAACCTTTCCATTTACACCCATATTATTATACAATGTCATGATTTTGTTGGTCAATCTATCAATTAGTGATGTGATTAGTTTATTATGAATCAAGAAATAGACAAGTACATTTATTAAAAAATAACGTACCATAACTACATATTCGATTTGATTGAGTGTTATTAAGTTGACTTTATATTTATCTATAAACAAAGAATGAAACAGTTCCATGAAATCATAATGAAAATAAAGGCCACTTCTGCAAAGGTAGAAGACTCAAACAATATTAATCAATTATTGATTTATTATTTATTTGAACACACAAATATTGGTACAAAGAGGTACCAAGTAAATATGCGCCATACAAGTCACTTAATTTGTGTGTGGGCTGTGATACTACCCGGATGCTCAGACCGAAACAGGTAATTTTCCTAAGGGGCCACACCCGGAGCATCCGATCTAAAGATCTGATCCACAAGGCAGTAGAGCATCGTAAGGAGATGCGGTCCCATGGTAGCTGGTGACCAGCATCAGGTTCATACGCCATTGGTTCCCTCAGGAACCTTGAACCTTTGTGCACCATTGATTTGAAATCAGGGTTTTCCGAAATCCCCTCGGCGGATCCTCCATATCCAGCAACTCGGTTAAAGCGCTGGACATTCGCTTTTCGTTTTCTCAACTTCGTAAACAACACCCCCACCACCATGAGAAGACAGTGAGTAGGGCTTCCTTGACAATGGCTATATACGCGTGGCCATGTGAGAGCATTTTGAGAGTGAGAACTAACTCTCCCCACCCTTGGCCGTACCAGGGCATTTGGGGACAAAACTAATATTAATAACTAACTCTATAAATATGTGAATGTTTTTTGCTGTTAGATTTTGTTGTATTAATATTCGTTCAAGTGTAGTGTCTGTCTAAATATTCATGGAATGATTACTATCTTTTATTACATATATAAATTAACTAAAATTTACCATCAATTATAAAGTGTTTACATTTTTGCTTTATTCATCAATCTATGTTAGTATATAAGTTCTAATAAAAATAACATCTTGTTATTCCTTACATATACAAGCTGAATGCTTTTTAGAAAAAGCCTTGTAGGATGGTTTAGGATGAGGTAGTTGTACATTTTGAAGAATAGTCAACTAATTTAACTTGCCTCAATATTGATATACATACTGAAGCTAAAAATCTAGAGATCATAAGTTTAAACTGTTCCAGACAAGGTTATGATTGTCATGAAATTTATTAATAAAGATAATTTTTTATTATTCATTGTATGGGTTAGATTTTTAACACTGTTGCTATTTATAACTGAACATGTGACTAGTTAGTTGATGAGAACTTTCAGTAATATATAGTCCAAAAAAAAGAACCAAAAAGCGACAACTGAAGTATAAAGAAAACCAAAGCATAGTATGTTAAAAAAAATATGAAGCAGTATAATAGGCTCACAAAGTAACTTCAATGAATACATACATCGATTCATTTGGTATTGTTTACTTGTATCTTCCCATTGTTATGTAGGACTGCAATTCAACAGTCTCTTGCTAGTAAATGTACATCTGCGGACTGACTCGATATTGCCTTAAGTCACAAGCTTTATATGGTTTCTCTCGTAAAATCCCATTCAAAGGATAGTCACATAGACATGAGATTATTCAATGTTTAGTTAGATACTTTTTAACTAATGTAGATTAGCAAACTAATCCTGTAAGAAGCGTTTAAAAATTTGTGTAAAGAGACTTAGTCAAATTGATTAGAGTAGTGAAATGTACGACAGAAAATGGAAATCAAGCTATTTTCACTAAATTCACTCTTAATAATACTTGTAATTTTGCTTAATTAAAGAAAATTCAAATGTAATCAAGCAACTGTTAGTTAGACTTAGATTTATTTGCTATTCATACGTTGTTCGTCAATGAAATGCAATGTAACATGATATATTACTATAACTCGTCAAGAAAACATTTGCAAAATATCTATGAACTACTATGTAGTAGTATAACTTGAAATGAATAATTTTATTAAGTAATCAATGAATACATACATCGATTCATTTGGTATTGTTTACTTGTATCTTCCCATTGTTATGTAGGACTGCAATTCAACAGTCTCTTGCTAGTAAATGTACATCTGCGGACTGACTCGATATTGCCTTAAGTCACAAGCTTTATATGGTTTCTCTCGTAAAATCCCATTCAAAGGATAGTCACATAGACATGAGATTATTCAATGTTTAGTTAGATACTTTTTAACTAATGTAGATTAGCAAACTAATCCTGTAAGAAGCGTTTAAAAATTTGTGTAAAGAGACTTAGTCAAATTGATTAGAGTAGTGAAATGTACGACAGAAAATGGAAATCAAGCTATTTTCACTAAATTCACTCTTAATAATACTTGTAATTTTGCTTAATTAAAGAAAATTCAAATGTAATCAAGCAACTGTTAGTTAGACTTAGATTTATTTGCTATTCATACGTTGTTCGTCAATGAAATGCAATGTAACATGATATATTACTATAACTCGTCAAGAAAACATTTGCAAAATATCTATGAACTACTATGTAGTAGTATAACTTGAAATGAATAATTTTATTAAGTAATCAATGAATACATACATCGATTCATTTGGTATTGTTTACTTGTATCTTCCCATTGTTATGTAGGACTGCAATTCAACAGTCTCTTGCTAGTAAATGTACATCTGCGGACTGACTCGATATTGCCTTAAGTCACAAGCTTTATATGGTTTCTCTCGTAAAATCCCATTCAAAGGATAGTCACATAGACATGAGATTATTCAATGTTTAGTTAGATACTTTTTAACTAATGTAGATTAGCAAACTAATCCTGTAAGAAGCGTTTAAAAATTTGTGTAAAGAGACTTAGTCAAATTGATTAGAGTAGTGAAATGTACGACAGAAAATGGAAATCAAGCTATTTTCACTAAATTCACTCTTAATAATACTTGTAATTTTGCTTAATTAAAGAAAATTCAAATGTAATCAAGCAACTGTTAGTTAGACTTAGATTTATTTGCTATTCATACGTTGTTCGTCAATGAAATACAATGTAACATGATATATTACTATAACTCGTCAAGAAAACATTTGCAAAATATCTATGAACTACTATGTAGTAGTATAACTTGAAATGAATAATTTTATTAAGTAATCACTGGGGTGAGACTATAATTTATGGATGAACCAATCCGGTATAAGATAATAGGTCTCGAATTTCGACGTAAAATTCATTCATCCATTTGAATAAACAGAGTTTTAGCATTACGACTGATGTCGGTTCGTGATGAAAACTCTAAACCTAATTTCTAACCTTAACCACCAACTGTAAATCATAATTCGAATTCCTCACACTGGTTCATAACCCTAATTTGGTCCTAGTTATTAGGTGAACATTCTTAAGGTCAGTTCTAGCGTCTCTCAAAGATCGCCCATAAATTGAAGTCTTACCATTATTTGATTGTTTTTGGATTAATAACTAATATTTATGTGTTTAAATTAGTCGAATTACATTCCTAATTATATACATATATGCTTTTATAGGATGTAGGTGATGAAAGAGATGAATTAAAACAACGAATGAAAGATTATTTAAGTGAACTTTCACGTTTAGAACGTGTATTATCAGAACGAGATAGTGAATGTAGTAAATTAATGGATCAATTAAGAACAGCAAATGAAGAATCTGAAAGTTGGAGAACAAGATGGGAAACAGCTGAAAATAAATTAACTAGTTGTAAAGTTGATTTAGAAGATAAAGAAGGTGAATTATCTAATGAACGTGAAAGATCAGATTTAAAAGATAGAGAGATATCACATTTACGAGCTACACTTAATTCAACAGAAATTCAGGTGAGTAAATATAATTTATACATGTGTACTATGGAATAAATAAAAAGTTCACTTATACTTGTAATTTATAAGAAACTATATTTGATAGATATTTCTATTAATAAAATTACATCAGTTAGAAAATGAATTGAAAGCAAAACTTCATACTACAATTTTTACAGTTATATTGTAATGATTACTATTAGAACCGATTGCGAAACACTCATCTATCGAATAAATTGATCAGAGATAGCTATGTAGTGTTAGCTTTCAAGATCTTGTCACTTGATAATTTTGAAACTCTTCATAGATTTCACATTGTGAATCAAACTACCCTAGAGTACTATTCTAGTATAGGGCTCCTCAATAGTGGCCATCCAGGATCCAAGATGTGTGTAAAGGTTAAGTCTCTAGACCACTTAGCAGGTATCCAACATTGTTAATATCTAATTTTAATCAATTCACGGCAACGTGCAAACATATTTGCAATTTAAAATCAATGAAAAATCTATGATCTGCATAAAACACTTCACTGATTATTTCAAAACATTCAGCGATTATAATTTCCGATTGTGATCTTATAAATTAACAAACTCTGAATAATGTAACATAACTTACTACTCTTTGGTAGCATATACTATTGCACATAGCCTCTATTTAGTTCCTCACATAATTCAAGTTACAGTGATTTAGTGTATAAATATTGAACAACACTAAATTGATTCATCATTTGTTGGGAACGTTAAATTCTCAGAACTCATTCGAAAAAAGTCCTAATTTTGTAATTTTAGTTAGAAAATTTGAATTTCTTTGTTTTTGCGCCATGTCATATTTCCCACTTGAAAGAATTTTAAACGCTATTGGTCCGTTGTGTCTTTTAATATGCTATTTTGTAACGCTTCCCAAGGACGGTTTTGTGCTTTATATGTACGTTTTGATTTGTGTCTGTTGTTATCACTCGTGCTTCTGGCCTTTTGTGGAATCTACTTCCCGGTTCCGACTTCGACTTCTCTCTCTAGTTAGCGAGACTGGGACGCAACAGAATAGCTAGTTTATTGGTTTATTGGACGATGATGCAATTTCGTGCGATTTTTGTTGACTAGTTACAGTTGGGTGTTGTTTTCTGAAATGTTTGTGTCATCTGAAAATTAAGTGAGACTATTAACATTAATTACAATCTTCTTGTTACTGTATTAGTTCACCAGGTCATCATTTATCAATCATAAATAAGTATGATTCATCAAATATAATATTTAAGAAAATTAATTTTCCCTATATTATAGAGTAATGCAACATCACGATCATTAGTTGAAGCTAATGAACAACTTAGAATGTCTCGAGCAGAAATTGAAACACTTTCTACAGAAATATCACGAATACGTGATGCATTATCCCGAAGTGAAACAGAAAAAGCCAATGTACAACGTGAAAATAATACACAACGTTTAGATAATGATCAATTACGTGCACAGTTAGATGATTTTGAAGTAGAATTAGAACAAATTAAAGAACAATTAGAAGATGAACGTGAAAATAATAGAAATATTAATGAAATACTTACAATTACAAGACAAAAAGAACAAAAAGCTTTATCTGAAGCTCAGGTTAGTTTGGTAGAGTTAATACTATTTATTCATTTACTCGGATCTTTATTTACTTTTGAACATAGATTACTAATGATTAAGGTGATTCCCATGTTCTCAGACATTATATGAGAAGTGTGGATATAAAAAGCTTTCAACTAACTTGAAGTTAATTGAATTCAACTTTTTTGGTTGTTTGAATCTTCCCATTGATGTTTACGATTGAATTTGATCAGTCTCTTGTTAGCATACGTGCATCATGTGAAGATTACTTCGATATTGCCTGAAGTCACAAGCATTATAAGCAGAAATGGATGGTGTCATATAATGATTGTGACTTCAGGCAAAATCGGAGCAATCTACAAGGGTGCACATATACCAACATAAAATTGATCAATTTCAATCCCAAACATCAATGGGAAGATTCAAACAACCAATAAAAAATGAATTAAAACTCCACCCCATTGCACAACCTAATGTTTACCTAGACTCAGTACCTCAGTCGAAAATGCGATGGCGTTTGAAGTGAATGGCACTGGGTCCGAGTCTTGGAGTGAACAGCAAATCTTGGATGCAAGTACATCCAGCTAATGAGTTCCAAACAGAACGAAACGCACGTCCTGGATTCCACTGCTAACCACCATCCATTAAAGATTGTAGAATTCGATCATTATCCACTAAATTTATTTGTTGTAACTGACCAAATTTCCATTTAAAAATGCATCATTTCAATGATATAAAATGAAAAGTTAATCAAATCTGAAACTTTCTAAAAATGAAATAAAAACGCCTTCTATTCCAATACCGTAATGTTATTCATTTAGACCAAATTCAGTCAGTTACAACGTAGGACCAGGCACATATATGCATCGGTCCAAGTTGCCACACCTCATTAACACAGCAAGCAGAACACCGGATTCATAGAAGTGTAATATATATAAAAAGATTTTATGTAGGAATATAGTACAGGAAGGAAGAATTAGTTCGTAGAAATATATGAAGCGATTTTAATGTCATAGTTTAAGAGAAGACAAAGGGTGCATACACCAACGCCATTGTGGTGGATTCTGAGCCATGTCACCCAGAGTCGCCAACCATTGGTTACGATAGTCACTCGGACCACAACCATGTAGTCTGCATCTACCAACATGGCTCAGATTGGAAGTTAGTGACTCCAAACACTGATGCCACGTTTTGGTTTGGCTGCCCCTAACTTTCTTCCAACTGTATCCAACACTAGTCAGCATTGAGCGTCGTGGTAATTGGTGTTCAGGCGTACGTAACACGTGACCCAACCATCTCAATCGATGAAGATTCGCAACTTAATCAAATGATTTACCATCATTCACTAATACGCTGCTTAGACCGAATTAGAATAATAAAACTCTGTTGTGATTTTCTTAAAATATATTCACTTAAAAAGGGTTAGAAATTAGTCGAAATAAATGATTAACAATTGAAGCGACTTGAACAGGATTTCAGTAATCAAAATGCTTCAAGATATGGATTCATTTAATAATAAGTTTTCAGTTCTAATGAGTGTTGTCAGTTTTTATTTAATCCGTCCCCATGAATACTCAAACTAAGATTATTAAAAAAATTAATTATACAAAACATATGGTACTGTATTCTTAGAGCTTTCAAAGTACTTTCTACTTGCGTCAGCGCACTTGTTTCGTCTTTTTTGTTGTTGAAAGCGCCCATGAAAGTGCTTTGTGATCAAGCTATTCAGATGCTTGAACATTACACGGTTTATCTCCATACCAACCCAATGCTGTATCTATATAAATTTCGGTGAAGAAATGAAATCGTACGTGTGTTTAATTTGTTATATTTGGTCGTTGCTGATTGTTGTGCCGGAAAAATGCTGGTCACTTATACTCGGAACGAGGGACCTCTGCGATAAAATATCATACTGGGAAAACTAAACAAATACCACATTGAGTAATCAAAACGGGGGTAATCTTGAACAAAACTCATAATGAGTAAATCAATCAAAAATTGACTTTTCTTTCCACTATTTAACAAGGCAATGATTTAAGGTGATGATCAGAAAATGGGTCCGAAACTTGAGACAAAAACGACTGACAAGATGCAGCACTAAGGAAATAGAAATTCACGTTGATCAGAATTGGAACATCAAGGTTAGAATGATCGAAGTTGGTGGTGGGGGTTACTTATTTCAAAAGATGTACACAATTAACTAATTTCTGAGAATTTAAAGTAACGAATGATTAGTTAACATCAATGTTTAAGTGTCTCACCTCTATACTATCATGAAATCTACTCAATGTGAAAGACCAGAAATTTGAGGTATTATGTACAACACTCATGGGCTGATTCTCAATTGTAATAGCAACATATTCAATCTTCTATAATCATACCATCGATATTACAAAATTATTCAGTGCTAAACACAAATTTCATAATTTGACTAGTTAGGAATCACAATCACTAAATTAAATTTCTTGATTGCAGGAAAGAACTACTGAAGTGATTGCTTTACGTGATAGAATTACTAGTGCGGAAGAGCGAGCTGAAATGGCTCAACGTGAAGTAGAAAAAGTAAGAGAACGATTAGCTGAAACAGAACGAGAAGCAAACCGGTTATCAAGAAGTTTATCAGCTGAAAGATTTGAGAAAGAACGCGCCTTATCTGAACTAAGATTAAGCAGTTTACCAGCAGGTTATAGACCTTCAGGTTATTCAAGGTACAATACTTTTATTGATGTCTTAAATATTGATAATGTTTGAAATCGCTTTTTACTTGTTTATATGTAGACTTATCAGTCACGTTTAGATGAAGAAATATAGGCAACATCTAGTGGTGATATCCACGTTGAATCTTATCTGGAATGCTGGTATATCAAGTTTTAACTGATTGTTCATTGAATGAATAAACACACGAAACGCTTGTTACAGGGAATCGACAGTCCGTTATAAAACGATTTGTTATTAACCACTAAGCTTATTGTTTCCCTGTATACATCGGTATAGTTATGAGCCGGATCCGTTTATAGATGTTTTATAAGAGGATTCACCGTATTCCTAACACAAGTCTCCTAAATTTATACACATCTGGTTAGTTTACCATCACCCCTTGAAAGTGTACAGTACATTTCAAGGTGTTTTTCACGATTGTATCTTCATATCAATACTTTTGTCATAATTTTCGATCAGTATTTCACTCAACTTTTATTCTAACTGATTATGTATATGGTCGACAAACGTAAATGTCTGATGTAGTGATAATTCATAAAAGAACAAATAGATGAAGTCGTTGAGACAACAAAACACTAATCACTAGAAATGAAATAACACATATTTTACGATGAAAAAATGGGAATCTCTTCAATCTCACAATGGATACTATATTAACTCAATCAATCACTAAACTAGGCACCTGGTTGCATAACACTTAAATTCATTTCTGAATCAACGATTAAGAAGTACACAATACGAAGTCAGCGAGAGGAACAAATAATAATGTAACGTTATCACTTACAGAAAGTGCATCTGGACGTCTGTCTTTGATCACTAGTTAATAACAACTTGACAAACAAATGTTGGAAACATTCAGTGAAAAAGACGTTTAGCTCTAGTGAATAAATCAAAAACATTTGATAAATAAGCTACGAAAGAAATATCTCAACGTCAAGAATTTTTTGGGTTGAATTTTGAGGCTAGTCTTCATCATGGGGAAAAGTCAAATAAACACTTGAAAACCAAAGAACCATTAGATTTTTGTTTTCTCCTAGTCTAAAAATAATCAGCATTGCTAAATAATGATCTTTTGTGATATGATGGCAAACCATAATTCTAATTTGAGAAAATGAAGATTTTGCGTTGACCTTTGACAATTTTGAAGATCGATTTTGTCAGGAATCGACATTAGTTGCGGAATCTTTGGTAGAACCAGATAACTGTTTATCTTGCCTTGCACTGCTTCAGGAGTGCACACTGAAAACTCCACTTAGAATTAGACCGGGGATCTTCAGGCTGTCCCATAAGCACAATAACCTTAGAAAAGTGAGCATGGATTTTGAGTAATTTACTTTATATTTTAAAATAAGTTCAAAATTCTCAACTTCGAAATAATACTTCTCTCTTGAATTCAATCTTTTAGTTTAGGAGCAACATATTACCCGGGTACTTCAGTCAGTCGAGATCGTACGGCTTATCAAGAAAGAGATGATTATTGACTTTAGTACTGTTAAAATTTCCTATAAGCTGCTTTTCAGATAGTTATATGAAATATTGTTCCGTTGACCGTTTATTATTTCTTTGACAGTTTTGCTCTTTGATTACTATTCCACCAAATTTTATGAAATTTATACATGTGATTATATCAGACACAAACCGAATAGGATAATTCTTATGTAAACTTTTATACGAAATAAATGAAAAAAGTCTAACAAGTTTAGATTTATGAATTGAATTTGTTCATTTATTACCTTAAATGTACTTATGAAAGGGAATCATTAAAGCATTACTCGAAAAGTTTGTTCACTTAAAAAATCTACTTTATGCAATCAAACAATGCAACTGAAGATCATAACATAAGACAGAATATGTTTGAAACCTAGTAAGGGTTGAAATACTGCTCGAGCGCCCAAACTGAAGCAGGAAATCGGATAAATCTATCCTTTTATTTACATAAATTTAAAAAATGAAATGTTCCGATTAGGATCATTTCAAAAGGATTTTTAAAACTGATAAGGTAACCCAGACAAACACACTCGTACCATGTACCGCGCTGTTGATGAGTTAACTTATGAATCTGAAACAAATCTTTGATTAACTTCAGATAGGATAAATGAAGAACTATTTATTACTTTATAATGTGTATTTTTATAATGGATTAATAATTACCTTATTAGAAAATCCAGATGTCATGATAAACGAACTCTTGTTAGCACGATAGGTTGGTATCAATCAGTTTGTGATACAGTACAATCAACTTCTAAAGTTATTAAATATATACATGATTTTATTCGTAACCCTGTGACCTTCAGTTGTAGAAAAAGGATGTTCAAGTGATAGTTCAATGTACAACACTATACACACTGGAATATATGCAAAGAATATGTATTAACAGACGAATAATTTACAGTAAAAATATCATCAGTGGGAACTTTTGTTAAGCCCATACATCTTCTTGAAATCGTTCTGCTTTACGCATTGTTTCTACATATGCCCGGGCATTTATGAAATCCTCTTCAGGTATGACCGAATATTTACACCATCTCTGTGTTCGTTCAAAATAAAGTCGCATAGCAAGTAGTTTCAGCCACGACTCGTATACTCCATAAGCTAAAGCACGTGTTCCTCCACAAATCATTATTTTAGCACCTCTCTCGAAAACAAGACTCATCAGTTGTATATCATGCTCGGATACCTCATAATCATTAGAATATTTACAAAGGATACAATCTTGGACATACTGTGCTTTGAGTGGAAAACAGGCTTGTTCAATTAATATTGGCGAAATTTCTTTAAGCGCATACTTTTCATCCGGAGAATTTACAGTATCTCTTGAAAAACATAGGCAAAGATGTTTCAATACTTTAGAATTTACTGCATCTGATAGTTCATTCTCAAACAGGAGACTAGACGTTGGAGAACGACAACCATACATTAGCCACAAATCTCCAGTAGAGGTATTTTTCTGAAACAAGATCACAATACAAAATTTATCCAGTTGCACGTATCCAAATTAGTTAATATTTTAGGTATGTTGATTTAATACGAGTTTTATTGCATTTGGAGATGATCAGTTGAGTGGAAAATGAAAAATGTCCCCAAATCCTCGGTTGACTTAAAGAAACTTTCCGAATAAGTTTGCGATAGCGTTACATGCGTTAGAAACAGGACACAAGATTAATTTTGAAGGGACCAAGATAATTCAGAAAGGTTTTAACACTCATAAAGAAAGATTGACAGCAGAAGCGCTGTATATATGAGTGAACAAGAACAGCTTGAACCGAAAGGATGGTATTCAACTAGCGACTACTCGGCAAATAATCTCTGACAAGTAATTGGACCCTTTCTTTATTCAATCTGTTTATTTCCCATGTATCGTTATTTTGACTGGAATAAATGTAAGTTATTTCTAGCAATACAAATACGCATTTGATGACTCTCATTTTGCTTGCACTTCAATGATTAAGAAATAATTTTTTCGACCTTCAACTTGCACTTTTATGTTTTCCTTCATATAAAACATATTAACACCGAATATCATTCATTAATAACTCAATATAACACATACATACTTACACACACAAACAATTCGTTTCAGTCATTTAGTTCCATATTGTGAGCTTTTTACCTAATTCACATTTAACTGATCCATGTTATTCTATTTACTTGAGTCAACGTCCAAATATTATTGGATTAATACAGTATAGATTTGATTGTTACAATACTATATATTTCTTTGATGATTTTGATTTTAATCATTGTCCTGAAGACGTTCAGAACAGTTAGTTGGACGAAATCTATTTATTTTAACACATAGGTATTGGTACAAGGAGGCACCAAATACATATACGCCACACATCTCATTTGATTTGTGTGACGGCTGTGATACTGCCTGGGTGCCCAAACCGAAGCAGGTGGTTTTCTTAGGGGGCCACAACCCGAGCCTTCGACCTGAAGATCTGGTCCACAAGGCAGTGGAGCATCGTAAGGAAATGCAATCCCAAGGTAGCCGGTGGTCAACGATTGGTTCACACGCCATTTGTTCCTTCAGGATACTGGAGCCCATGTACACCATTGGTTTGGGATCCGGTTAAAGCGCCGGACATTCGCTTTTCGTCTTCTCAATTTCGTAAACAACACTTCTGCCACGTGAAGGCAGTGAGTAGAACTTCCCTGGCAGAGGCTATATACGCGTGGCCATGTGAGAGCATTTCGAGGGGGAGAGCGGACTCTCCCCACTCTCGGCCGTACCAGGGCATTTGGGGGCAAGCTGGACGAAATGTTGAAATTATTTTAAATTTGAATCGCTGAGATTATTTCAAACATAATTTTCACATAAATTGTCTTCGCTATATTCGGTGCCCCATATCTGTCAAACTTTTCTTTTTAATCTTGACGAATATTCGTATAAGAATAAATAGATGTCTCACCTTAAGGTTATCGATTTTACGTTGTCTTATAAAGCTAATAAATGGTGCGATTGCACTTCCGGCAGCAATCATTATAACTGGTTGAGAGATATAATCGGGTAAATAGAATTGTGTAATATTTTTCCGTAAATATACATATATAATTCGAGATTCGCCATTGTTGAAATTAACTTTCTGATAGTCATCAGGTTGATTAACTCCATACCATATTTTCTCAAGCCAACCGGTACAAGTGCCATGACGTCGTGGTGGATAACGATCAATAAAACCTATATGCTTATCACTTTCAGGATATTCAAAATCCACTCTAGTGAAAATAAAAGATAGTTCTTGGTCACAAGACAATTGTTTATCAACTGGATTAATGAGTGTATATGAACGTGGCTGAAGTGTTGGAAGAATTTCCAACAATCGAATAAATGATGGTCGGCAACATGAAAATATAGACAAAATATCCAAGAGATTAAGATTAGGTATTTGGATATATCTGAAAAAAAGGTTAAAATAAACTGGTAACCAGCCATAATATGTTGACATTTTAAGTAGTAAGTAAGTAGATCACCTACAAACATAAACTCTAAGTTTAGTTACTTTGAATGTATTGTGAACTAGGACTTAGGAAAAAATCATTAGTTTGGTAATATCACTTTAACAATATTTTCAAAAAAATGGGTTTGAATATTCGATAACAAGTCCTACCAGGGTGGATTTATGGACGGAAACTTGCACTAAGGTACTGGGGATTAGTTTATAACGATGTCTACAATATATAATTGATGAAATACAATATTAGACTGAGATAACTGCGGTTTATTGTGGCACATTGAGTAAGCATCATTCATCCTTCTAACTTCTACATGTTTCTTGATTCTTCTTTATTTAGTTCGTTGGTTTTTCCATGCATAAGAACATTAACCTACTTTTGCTTTCGGTTATAGATTGGTCTATCTTCCAGAAGAATGGTTGTAAATATGATACTTACTTTTCAAACATTTTCTTGCCTTCAGCACTGGATAATTCCAGAAGTCGGTTACGTTGTCTTTCTGAACTAACAGGGCTGACGTTGTCATCAAAACAATAATCTGCTAGCAAACGTAAAATACGACGTGTTATGGGTATATACAGTTCACAGCAATACGTCAACAAATATCGTAATGAAAGTGGACAAGTAAAATGAGACCATTCAGGGAGGCTTCTGTGCTTTGTAGCTATTACATCATGAGTGAAAAGTGTATCGGCATCATGTAGACTATCCAATGTTAAACGCCGTAACAACCACGCCACAGTTTGCGCATTATTTTCAGGTAATATGGAGATGCTATCGCCTGGACGGTAATCTAGTGTCTTTCCAGACTTAAGTTTTAAAGTCGCTCTGTAAGATAATGAAAAAAAAACACTTGAAGAAATTGGAAATCACTGAGAAATGTTTCGTATTAATGTTATAGTATGAGATGGTTAGGGGCAATTAGCAGGTCCTGGATTTCAATTTTGTGCAAATCGTCACTTGTTGGCCAACTACACACAAAACCTAGGTCCACAGTTTCCTGTTGATTGGCCCCACCAACATAACATTGGGGACACTTATACCAGGCGGAAAATACGTGATAGATAGAATTCAGTCAGGTTTAAGGCTTCGGTTGATCATAACTAAGTGATCGATTAATGTGCGCTGTACAGATAAAACCAGAACAGCTCAAAACTGAGTCGAGATCCACCTTATTTATTGAGTGATTTATTTGAAAGACGTCACAATTATCTTGAGTGTAAAATTAACAGTGACAGCTAATTGGACGTCACGAGAATGAGTTGAAAGTAAGCATAAAGAGCAATACGGCAATTACTACTAACTACCACATTAAACTGTATCTTTATGTTTAATTGCTTTCAAAGGTACTTTATTTTGAAACGGTGTTTGACGCATAGCTGATTAAGCTGACATGTACTTAGTTACAGAAAGGTAAGGTCACTGAACTATATCACAAGGCGTTCTTTATTGAGTGTAGTTATTAGTCAGACAGAGAACTTGCAAGTAGATTATTAAATGCTAAGAACAAATTGAAGTATTATACATCTGTTTGCAGCGGTATTACAGACGTATGACTATACCGTTCAACTTGACAAACACTATCTTTAGAAAACTACTCCAGAACAGTGAAAAAGAAATGCTTTTGTGTTGCACAATTGTCTAGTAAGAGACTGACCATATTTAGTGGAGAAACAGGTCAAGAAAATAGGATAGGTTGAAGTTGGATAATGAACAATGTTGGTTGATACTGATAAATTCGTCAAGGTTAATGACC